CAGAGCCTTGAGGGACTGACGCCAGGGGTCCGAGTCCCACCTAGACTCATTTTTATGTGGTTTGGTTTTGTTGGGGGCCATGCCCGGCTGTGTTCAGGGGCCACTCCTGGTGCTGCTCTGGGTTCTCCATGGGACGCTGGGGATGGAACTAGGGTCAGCCACGTGCAAGGCAAACGCCCCCCTGCACCATCGGTCTACAGGCCCCACTTACACTCTCAGACATCACCCAGTCCTCTGCCCCCCCCCCCACCCCCGTAAGTATTGAAGTCAAAGTCTCCATCCGGGCAGGACCCCAGCACCTCAGGTCTGTGCTCTCAGAGGCACTGAGTCTCAAGATGCGGTGACAACCCCCCAGTACAGGGCCAGAGGTAGCCTCCAAGAGTCATCAGGTGTGCCCCCCCCAAAAAAAAAGAAAAACCACCACACACATACACTTTGGGAAGTTAACTTAGGTGCGTGTGTTTCATGTGCATCCAACATGCGGTCCCGGGAAGGGGTTGGTCCCCACCATTGCAGGATGAGGGGTTCCCGGCACAGACCTGGTTGTGCTTGGGTTCAGATCACGTGAAATGCCACGTGTGACAGCGCCCATGTTCCTGTCCGCAGGGAAACCGGCTACTGCGCACCCACTTGGTGCCTCCCCCCACCCCGTCTTCTCTCCTCTCACCCTTTCCCAATTTAGCCCTCAGAGACAAAGGTGGGTGACTGCCCCAGGGGTGCCCCTGCATTCCCCCCGCCCCCACTCACTGACAGTGCAGCAACCCACGCCCCAATGCCAGGGACTATGGCTGGTTTAAGCATTGCCTTGGTGGTTCCCCCATGATGGTATGTGTGCTGCTGCCTTCCCGTCATCTGCTGACTCTGTTGCCCCAACACCCCTGAAACGCATCATTGGTCCCCACAGCAAAGCCCTGACACCTTCTCTCCGCTGGAGCACCGAGAGCGAGACCAGCACAGCCCAGCCCCAGCCCTGCTGAGTGGGCTAGAAAGTCACACGCCTTTCTCGCGGGAGGCTCCGCCCTCGACCCCTGGCATGGTCCTCTGAGCACCACCTGTGTGCACAGGGCCCCCTCCTCAAGAGAAACCCTAAACCCCGCAGGTCTCCCCCACCCAGACTCAGCTCTGCATCTGGCCCGAGGTTTCAGGGCTTGCAACCTGGGCGTGTGCAAGCGCCCCAAAAGACACTGCCCACAGAACCCAGGCTGTCAGCCCAGATGAATGGTTGCTGGACTGTCCGCGTCCAAATCTGGTGGTCAGCTCAGCTGTCGAGCTGCCCCTGCTCGCTGTACTCATTTCTTCCCCAGCTGCATCCCTAGGCAGGCCATGAAGTTGCCCCTGCTCGGGACTGAGGCACACGGGGAACTGGAAGGTGTGTTTCCAGATGTGCCCCCAAGCTTCACTGAACTGCCCTTAACAAGAGAGAAAGCGGGCTTGGAGTAGCTTTGCCCAAGGAGCCCCGAGAGGATCCATCTTGGTGCCCAGGGTGACCCCAACCAAATCCATGTGTTAACACGGTTCCCTGCACTTATGGACCACTTATGTCAAGTTCAGCTTCCTCCCAGTTCCCTTAGAACCCCCAAAACACACGCCCCACCTGTAGCCCCAGGAGGGTCCCATGCCTTGTGCCTATGGAAAGGCCTGCTCTCCTTTTTGGGGTGCTAAGAGACAGCCCTCCAGGAGGAGTAGAGCATGTGCAGCGTAAGCCACATGGCCCGTCTTCCCAGGAGTGCCGGGTGGACCGCCTAAGCCTTGCCTCTGAATGTGTTAATGCTTTGGTCTTCCACCCTTTAACCTCCTGGAATTGGGGTTTCCATCTGTCCATTTAGTGTTCAGCGAAGGCACCTGACACTTTCTAGCTCTGGCCCAGGCCAGGCAGGAGACGAAAAAGTGAGTCTGGAAATGAGGGTTTGACAAGGGGGAAAAGAGGATGGAGAGAGGGCAGTTGTGCAAAGTGGGAGAGACAGCAGGAAGAGGAGATGTGAGCACCTGAGCGGAGAAACGGCTTCCTGAACCCATTGATTCCAAAACCAGTTAGACACTGCAGCCAGCCCACTGCAGAGCCTTGGGCAGTGGGCTGAGAACTGGCCACTGGGAAAGGAGGGAGGAGAGGCAAGGGAGGGGCAGGAACAGCGGGGAGAGCATTTTCTTGGCACACACCTGGGTTCGATCCCTGGCATCCCATATGGTCCCCCAAGCACCGCTGGGAGTAATTCCTGAGTGCGGAGCCAGGAGTAACCCCTGAGCATCACCGAGTGTGACCCAAAGGAAAAAAGAGGCAGAGAAGAGAGACAGGGGAGAGGGGAAGGGCAGGGGAGGTGGGGGGAGGGGACAGGGCAGAGGCTGAGCCTGGAGCAGCCTCTGCTGACAACGGGCAGCCTCAGGGCGGTGTGGGCAGGTGCTTGGGTATTTTCTTCCCAGGAGGGGGTGGGTGGGGGCACTGCTGGGGATCGAACTTGAGGACTCACATTGCAAGGGAAGTGCGCTGCTGCTCAGTAGCCAGAGCCATAGTACAGCAGGTAGGGCATTTGCCTTGCACAAGGCTGATCCAGGTTCGATCCCCGGCATCCCCAAACACCGCCAGGAGTGATTGCTGAGTGCAGAGCCAGGTGTCACCCCTGAGCATCGCTGGCTGTGGCCCCCAAACAAAGCCACAGCAAAAACAAACTTTAGGGACAGAAAGAGAACTCGGTGGGCTGAGCGTGGGTTGTACGTGCCAGGGGCTCAGCACTGTGGGGTCCCCCGAGCACCACTGGCCCTGACTCCAAGCACAAAGCCAGGTGTGGCTCAGAATAACCATCACCAAAAAAGGGAAGTATTTGCAAATGTGGTTGGATCTCTGATCTGCACCTTCATGGCAGCAGAAGAGAGCTTTGGCCCCTTTGTAGGGCTGGCGGCTTGGGCCCACGCGGGCCAGGCCCCTGGATTGAAGGTGAAACTCCGTAGCAGGGCAGAAACCAGCTGCCGGCTGGCTCAGCTCCCACACCTGCTTCCCACGGAGCCGCTGAAGTTGGGGCTGAGACAGGGCTTGGGATCAGGAAAGGGGAGCTGGGTGGCTGGTGCCACCTGCTGAGGTCGGGCACACACGTCCACTCTGCATTAGGTCCTGACTGCTTCCGGAGGGCCCTGCTCGGCCACCTGGAGTGTGTGAATCCCCTTCCATTGACTTCAACAGTTTTATGGGGGGGAGGATCTCCTCGGTGTTGTTGCAGGGGGTCTTAGGGCCTCTCCCAGGCCTGCTGGCACCTCAGGATATGGATCCACTCAGTCCTTTAGTGCAGGGACCGCCCTGATTGGGGAGGTGGAGGTTGGGGCTTGGCTGCCATCTCCCCTCCGCTTGGCATCCCCACCACGGAAGCTGTGGGCTGGAGGCCAGGGCACTGAGGCATGAGGCTGGGGGTGAAAGGCCATCTGAGGAGCTGGATTTATCCCCCCACACCATCACCCCCTGCCCCCGCCTACCGCTGGGTGAGCTGCAGAGCGACACCTGGTCCCTGGCAGGGCCAGCCGGCTGCTTTGACAACATCTCAGTGGAAGGGCTTGAGCACTGCAGGAGCTGGGATTTGCAAATCAGGGTGCGGTGAGCTTCACTGCGCTCAGGCCTGGAGCGCCCTGAGCTGCCCCCTCAGCCTCTCCATGCTACCAGTTCCTCCCGTCTCCTAACTGGGGCCAAGATGGGTGCCCCCTGTCACCACCTCCACTTCCGGCAGGCCTTCCCAGGTTATCTCCCTCCTCCCAATTCCAGCTGCCAAGAGCACCAGCTCAGCCATCCCCTGGCGTCAAATCTGACTCCATCCGTCAAGGCTTTCCTTCCGGAATCTGCCCCTGGGGCCGGGGATGTGGCCCAATGGCAAGTCCCTGCAGCTAAATCTCTTATTTCTGGTCACAGAAGCACTTGCCTTGAGTGCCCGGGTAGCCCCTCTCTGCCCTCCCCCCAAACCAACACACACACACCTGAGCACCACCAGGTGCGACTCTAAAACCCGAACGAATCTGTTTCACTTACAATGCCCCTCACCCCCCTCACATGTCCCCTCTGTCTCCTCTCCCTGAGCACCTCTGCCCCCTGTTTTCCAGCTGTCTGCCCACCTACCCTGCAGATAGCTCATTTAGAAAGTCGGCCCATGTTGAAATCCGCAGCAGCATGCAAGGCTCAATGTGAGCTTTACTGGATCAGTCCCGCCAAGATGCCTCCTGCCTGTCTCCCCTGCAGAAACGAAGACCAGGACCCCCACCCACACCCGCAAACTGGATGTTCATTAGAAGCGAGATCTCCCTGATGTGGATGGGCCAATCTCAGCCTGATGTTCATTTCAGACTATTTGCGGGAGGTGGGGGGGTGGGGTACACACCTGGTGGTACTCAGGGCTTACTCCTAGCTCTGTTCAGAAATCACTCCTGGCTGGGGGAACCATATGAGATGCCAGGAATAGAACCCATGTTGGCCCCGTGCAAGGCGTGTGTGTGTGTGTGTGTGTGTGTGTGTGTGTGTGTGTGTATCTGTGTGCTGTGGGGGAGGGGTGGTGGTCTTTGTTTTCCTGGAGGATGCAAGAGCAGAGCACTGAGGGCTGAGCCCCTGCGACTCTTGAGAAGGTGACAGGTAGATTGTAACTGGGTTCCTGTAAATTAGTCGCAGTTTGGAGAGCAACTGTGGAGATTCTCGATGAGATTCTCGCAGGAGTGTTGGGAGGATATATATGTAAAGTCGGCGGATTTGTGTTTGGCCAGTGGATGGGCAGTGCAGGCGGGGTCTACTCCCCAAGGGGGTCTGTGATTAGGGGGGGACCCTATGCTTTGGGACTGGAGTCCCGCAGCCCCTGTGGCTGTCTCTCTCTGGCTCTGTAAATGTCGTTTGGACTAGTCATTAATTACCGTTTATTCAAGGTTCCCCTGGATTTGGAAACCCGGTGTGTTCAGCTGCTTCCAAACTTCCTCAGCTCCGGACTCCCGGGTCAGGCCCTCCCCCCCTTCCTGCACACCCCGGCGGCCCTTGGAAGCCCATGGCGCTAAGGTCAGTTGGGAGGTCGTGGATGTCGGAAATAAAGGTGTAAAAAAGGGGGAGGAGGAATGGGTTTGGGCTTTAAAACACGGTTTTGGCTGTTTGCAGACAGCCTTAAAGTCATCAGCGCCCCACTGCGGAATTCAAAGCTCGGCTTGTCACAATCGTTAACACCTTCTTTGACCATCTTTCTGTATTTGACAATTCCCTTCCGCGCCTTTCTCGCCGGCTGGAAGCTTCTGCTGTCTGGCTTTTCGGGAGTCCCCTAGACAGCGAGCAGCCCCTCCGTTTGCAGAAGCCGGGGGAGGCTTCCCGTCGGCCCGCCCGCCTGGCAGGGTGAGTAGGTTTCGAGGCGCAGCGAGCGGGGGGCGCGGGGAGGAGCGGACCGAGGGGGCAGGAGCGCCGCGGCCAAGTCCCCGCGGGGGCTCCAGAAACTTACCTCCAGGTCCAGCCCCAGGCCCGTCCCCGCCGCGCGCGGCGAGCGCCCCGGAGTTCCGCGGCCCCGAGGTGGGGTGGGGTCGGGGGGGAGACACCCCACCCCACCCCCGTCTCCGCCGAGCGCCAGCCGGCCGGGAACGGGGTGCTCGCCTCGCGGCCCTCGGGGGGAGGGGGGTTCCCACTCCTACCAACTTTCCGGGCCCCGGGGCCGGAGGAGGGCGCCTCTCCCGGCGGGGATGCGCCGGCTACTTAAGGGCGGCTCGGCGGGCCGGCGCGCGGCAGTCGGAGCGGGCGGAGGAGGAGCATGGAGCCGCCGCGGGCCTGCTGAGCACCGGAGCGCGGGCGGCCGGCGGCACGGTGAGCGCGGGCGGGCGGGCGGGCGCGGGGGACGGGCTGAGCGCGGCGCTGCCCGCGGCCCCCTCGGCCCCGGGCCCTCCTCCCTTTCTCCCCGCAGCCGCTCCCCTTCCTCCTGCCTCCCCAGCCGCCCCGTTGTCGCTGAATGGACCTCGGGGCGCGGCGCGGGGGCGCCCGGCTGCCGGGGGGGTCTCCCCGACGCTCGTGGCGGGGTTTATCTGCACCTGTGCCGGCTTCGGGGTGCCCGGGTTCCCGCGCCGGTCAGGGCGCCCCTTCCCCGGCCGGCTCCGGGAGCCCCCGCCCGGCGCACAAGTTTGCCGGCCGCCGCGCGTGGGGGGACGCCCCGCAAGGGGGTCCACCTGTCAGCCCCTGAGGCCCCGGGTCCGCGGCGTGCGTCCCTGGCGAGAGGGTTCTCCGGCCATCGTGGGGGGCTGGGGGCCGGTCTTGGGGAGCGCTCCCAACCTCCTGCCCTTGGAGCGCGGGGGAGGGCTACGCGGGAGGGCCTGAGCGCTCGCGTCCGCCCGTTTGGGGCGCACGGCCGCGCCGGAACGGCCCCCCGCACCCCGCAGCCGGAGCTCGCCCGGGCGTTTGATTGCACGTGGGGTCTTCGGCGGCGGGACCTTCCCGAGTCCTGGGATGGGGTGGCGGTGCGAGGGTCGTGCCGCAGACCCCGCCGGAAGGGAAGGGGCCGGCGACCCCGGGAGAGCCGCCTTTGTCTGCAGGCACACTTTGCGCAGGTGGCCGGGCGCGGGGAGCAGCGGGGCCTGCGCCGGCCGCCGGCCCGTGGGAAGCCGGCACGTGGGTGTGGCTGGCGCCGCCTTCCCGGGCGGGCGAGGCTCGGGCGGGGGCGAGGAGCGTGGCGAGCGCCTCGGCGGCTGCAGGAACCCGGCGGGCACCGCCTCCGGCACTGCGCCGCGGCCCGGCGCCAGGCCCGGCGGCTTCAGCGCTGGCCTCGGCGCCCCTGGGCGGCCGCAGCGCGCAGGCGGCGAGGGGTGCCCGCCGCGCCCTCTCGGCACGTAAGCGCTGGGCTGGGTGATGCTGGGCCTGGGGTCCCCTGCGCCCCTGCGCGTGCGGGGAGGCGGGGAGCCGGGGCGGGCCGGGAGTCCTGCGGAGAAAGCAGGCGGCGGGCGCTCCGGCATCCCGGCAGAGCGCCCGGAGGGACCCAGTTGCCAAGACCGCTTTGCGGCCCGCGCCGCCGGAATGCCGCGGGGAGGTTGTCTGTGCCTGGGGTGGGGCGCGGGTGGCTTCAGTGAGACCCAAGTTGGAACAGGCTTGAGAGACACCTCATTGTCTGCGGGGGGGAGGGGGCGCAGGGAGCGCGCGCTGGCCAGGTGGGAAGATGGGGAGGCGGCCCGGGGTGGAATGGAGATACCTGGGCTGGCCTCAGCCGGCACCCCACTTCCCAGCCGCCCCACCCGAGCCTCTGGGTACTACAAGTCCTCGCGTGTGATTTACCTGAGCGTAGGAGCAACCATTAGCGCCCCAGAGGGTGGGCCTGGGGGGACCAAGACCCAGAGGACTTGGGCAAGGTCAGGCCTCGGCGCCAGTCTCTGGCTTCCAAACCGCCTGCGCCGCCAGCCAGGCAGGGTTCAGGCCCGACAGCTTGTGCAGGCGGCCGGGTGTGTGTGTGTGGGGGGGGGGGGGGGGGGGGCTCCCGATTCGCGACCCCGCGGCACTAGGACCGGGTGGAAGGACCTTCCCGGCCGGGCTGCTGCAGTGCGGGTGCGTGTCCGCGGCTGCCCCGCCTCAGCCCCGCTCTCCCCTGCGCTAAGTCCCTTTCTTTCCTGCGTCCAGAAAGTGGGGGAAAGGTGAGGATGCGGGGCCCACCAAGAAACTTTCTCACCGATTCTGTTCTTTGCCTTCTGGCGCCTCTTTTGTGATCCCCGCTGGTCCCGGTCCTTTCCTCCCCCACTCTCCGGCCTCTTTCTGTGCCTTCCCGGCGCCAATTCTTGCAGAGGGCAACATTGGCGGGTATGCGGCAGGCACAGGCAGCTTCCTTGGCCTGCCCCGTGTCCCCGGCTGCCCTTCTGAGCATCTCTAAGGGCCGGGGGCCGGCTGCTTCCAGTTCTGCCACCTGCCAGCAGAGGGTCCCCTCACCCTGGGTGGCTTTGGTTTGAACGAAGGCTACCCTGCGCCTGTACCCACTTAACCCTGGAGGCTGCTAGCTCGTGCTACAAGCCCCGTAGGGGGAGGAATTCACGCAAGGACCCCAGAGGTGCCAGTCTTGGTCCTGCTCCGCCTCCGTGCACGGGGGTCAGTGGCGACTCCTTCTCCTCCCACTGCCCCCCACGTGACCCCGCACTCCTGTTTCCTCCCCCTAGATGCCGGTGCAGCTGACGACCGCCCTGCGTGTGGTGGGCACCAGCCTGTTTGCCCTGGCGGTGCTGGGGGGCATCCTGGCGGCCTACGTGACAGGCTACCAGTTCATCCACACGGAAAAGCACTACCTGTCCTTTGGCCTCTACGGCGCCATCCTGGGCCTGCACCTGCTCATCCAGAGCCTCTTCGCCTTCCTGGAGCACCGGCGCATGCGGCGCGCGGGCCGCGCCCTCAAGCTGCCGTCCCCGCGCCGTCGCTCCGTGGCGCTCTGCATCGCGGCCTACCAGGAGGACCCCGACTACCTGCGCAAGTGCCTGCGCTCGGCCCAGCGCATCGCCTTCCCCAACCTCAAGGTGGTCATGGTGGTGGACGGCAACCGCCAGGAGGACGCCTACATGCTGGACATCTTCCACGAGGTGCTCGGCGGCACCGAGCAAGGCGGCTTCTTCGTGTGGCGCAGCAACTTCCACGAGGCGGGGGAGGGCGAGACGGAGGCCAGCCTGCGGGAGGGCATGGACCGCGTGCGGGACGTCGTCCGCGCCCACACCTTCTCGTGCATCATGCAGAAGTGGGGAGGCAAGCGAGAGGTCATGTACACGGCCTTCAAGGCCCTCGGCGACTCCGTGGACTACATCCAGGTGAGGCTGCCCCCACCCCGGGGCGGGGCCCAGCGGGACGCGGCACACAGCCGCCCCTGCTCGCGCTGTGATGGGCCAGAGGGGTTCGGAAGGACAGGGCTGGGCGCCAGGAGACCCGGGATGGGGCTGGGTTCTGCGGCTCTTACTTCCGGGGCTTTAGGAAGGTCTCTGAGCTGGTGGCCCAATAATGGCACACGGGTGCCCTGCTCCTGCCCGCAGACACCGTTGTAGGCACTTGATGCATATTATCTTTGGGATTTACTTTTTTTTTTTGGGGGGGGGATGGCTTTTGGAACACACCCAGTGGTACTCAGGGCCCTCTCCTACCAGGGCTCTGGGGTTAAACCTGGGGTGGCCGCGTGCCAGGCAAGTGACATAACCCCTATATTGTCTCTGTAGCCCCATGTATTTACTTTTTGTTTTTTAGGGACTTTGCCTGGTGGTGCTCAGGGCTTCTCTGTTCTTAGGGATCACTTGTGGTAGGCCTAGGGGACCACATGGGGTGACAGATTTGAACCTGAGCAGGCCACACACGACAGGTGCTCTACCTGGACTATCTCTCATGCCCCTATTTACCCTTTTGGTAAGGGCCACTCCCAGCAATGCTAGGTCTTGGTGAAGCCTTGGGGGCCACCAGGCTCACCCCAGCAGTGCCTGAGGGCCAGGTGGTGAAAGGATTCATTTGATGCCTCGGGTTATGCCAGGCCTGTATCCTAACACCTGCTGTTAAGACAACCGCCAGGAGGACGCCTACATGCTGGACAACTTCCTCCTGCCCCAGGTTAGCGCTTTGGATCCTCATAACTCTCAGGGAGCAGTGCTCCCCCACACTCAGAGCAGGTCGGCCTGAAAGTGGAGGGACATGCTAACTGTCACCAGCAGGAAAGGTGCAGTCAGGCTGTCTGGGGTTTCATCTCCCCTTCCTGGGGTACTGCCTCACCACTGAATCAGGTCTATGCCTCTGACTAAAGAAATACGGCAAAGATGGGGCCGGAGTGATAGTGCAGTGGGAAGGGTGTTTGCCTTGCACATGACCAATGCAGGTTGGACTCTCAATTCCCGGCATCCCATATGGTCCCCTGAGCACCACCAGGAATAATTCCTCAATGCAGAGCCAGGGTAACTTCTGAGCACTGCCAGGAGTGACCACCACCCCCCCCCCCCCCCCAAATATGGCAAAGAGCAAAAGAAAAAAATGTTTCAGGGGCTGGAGACAGTACAGTGGGTAAGGCACTTGCCTTGTTCATAGTGTACCTGGGTTCGATCCCCAGCACACTCAACTCTACCAGGACTGACCCCTGAACATTATTGGGTGTAGCTTAAAAAACAAAGGGAAAAAATCTTTTACTCTAAAGCATTCAACTACTGTTTTAGTCGCGGGCCCAAAATTGCGCTCCGGCTGGAGAGCCCACAGAAAGGGGCTCACGCTCAGGCTGCAGGAAGTCTGGGTTCTGGCCTCAGCACCGCGGGCGCACACCACTGCCACCAACCCCCAAACCCAGACAAAGTCCCTCTCCTGCTGATGTCAGATTAGTGTCTGGGACTGGAGGGGCATGTATAAGTCACCCTAAAGTGTGATTGCAGTGCTGCAGTGGGACAGGGCCCACCACCCCCAACCCTGTCCTGCTTCCAAAGACACCAGCCTCTGGGGCCAGAGTGATGGTCCAGCAGGTCGGGTGTTTGCTTTGCATGCAGCCGATCCAGGTTTCATCTCTGGCATCCCCTATGGTTCTGGGAGCACTGCCAGGAGTAATTTCTGAGCATCACTGTATGTGGCCCAAACCCCCCCCCCCCAAAAAAAAAAGACACCAACCTCTAACCTGCATTGGGCTGCAAGGTTGACATCCCTGAGTTTTCAAAGGACAAAACCTTGAGAGCACCGAGGTTAAAGCTCACACATTTCAGGGCTGGTAAAAACTGCCAGACACAGCCCAGCTTCCGGGGTAGCATCCACACTGCTCCTGCCTGGGACGGCAGCCTGATGTGTGAGCCTGAAGCTCGGGCAGTGGTTGAGATTCTCGCCTTCCTCTATGGTACCCATCTCGAACTAGCTGCCCGCTGACATTTCCTCCTCTTGTGAGAACTGGGCCAGTTTTGTCTTCCTTGAAACGAATGCATCCTTGAACTTGGAGGGAGGGATGTGTCCTGCTTGTTTCCCCATCTGGAGTTGAGGGACTTGGTAGGCTGAGAGAAGGCCCCTGAAGGGCCCACGAGATAGCCTGAGGCATGCATGAGGCCCTGGGTTCGAATCTCAACATGTGGTTTTCCCCTATCACAGTAACCCCAGAACCCTGCCCCGTGCGGCCCTAAAAGACAGAAACCAAAGTGAAGTCCTTGATCCCACACACTCTTAAGTCATAGTGACTTCTGCCATCAACTCCCTGAAACATAGGGTCCCCCAAACTGGCTCTGCCACGTGTTTTCCTTTGCTGAGCACATGCCGCGTGTTGTGGCTGGTCAGCAAGCCAGCTGCTCCCCCAAACCAGCTCTTCCCTTTACAGCCTGGGCATCACTGCTGGGCAACCGGTCTCTTGTCACCTGGTGGGTCCCAGCTGTGGGTGCATCTGCCCTGAGCAGCCAATGGAAACCCCAGGTGGCACGGTGTGAAGGAATTCCTGCAGCAAGCAAAGTCAGCACCCTTGAGTAATGAGAGCCACCTGGCGGGGGGCAGCGCAGTCCGGCCTGAGTTCCCAGGGGCCGCTAGTGTGTGCATGTTCTGGCTTCCAGCAGCAGGAGTCAACCTTCCTGCTGGCTCAGGGACTTTCACTGAGCAATTCTGGTGCAAGAATTTGCGCTTTTGCAGGACAGGGTTCGGTTTGTCTGGCAAGTGCTCTCTGCTCAGGGTCGGGAAGCAGTTCTCCATCAAGTGTTTCTACCATCCGAGTCATTTTCGGAAAAAGACAAGGTGGCAGCACCTAAGCGCTCAGCACGGTGGGTCTGCTAACACCGTATGTTCTACCTCTTGAGGGCACTGCCCGTTAGAATCAGACCCGGGGCCTCACTGGGGAGGAGCAAGATCTACTCCAGGGCCTGGAGGCAGTGCTGCCAGCTTCCCAGCCCAGCGATGCAGGGTCCAGGCAAGGGCCCTGTGTGGGCAGACAGTGCCTGCTCTGAGACTCAGCCAGCAGAGCAAGAAGGCCGGCAGCCACACTGGTCAATGGCCTATGACTGGGGGGGGATGCTCACCCCTTAGGCTACTCAGGGGGGGCAGAGCCTGGCACAGGGGAAGGCCCTATTGTCAATGATTCCTTTGTGGTTCTTGGGCCACACGTGGCAGTGCTTGGGGACTGTTCTCAGCTCTGTGCTCAGGAGTGACCCCTGGTGATGCTCAGTGGACCACATGTGGTGCTGGGATTCAAACTGGGGTCGGCTGGATGCAAGTGCAACCCCTGTACTGTCTCTCTGGCCCTAGGTCTCTTTCCAGAGCAGTGCTAGAAAGATAGATGCTTCTGAGGAACGTCTCTGCAGGCTGTGGGTGGGCTAGCACAGTCTGTGACTTTGTGATTGCTATGCGGGGAATGTGTGCCTCTGGCAGAGCACATGCCTCCCATGTGGAGGTCATGAGTTCCCACCTTCGCACCACGTTGAACGCCAAGGGTGCAGCCCTAGTTGGTCCCCCAAGCACTACCAGGAGTGGCCCCCATTCTACAACAATGAGGGGTGGGAGGAGCAGGAGAAACAGTACAGGGGTTAAAGCATTTGCCTTGCATTCCACTGACCCCAGTTCAAGTCCCTGGCGTTATTTATGGTCCCCCTGAGCACTCGCAGAGGTCATTACTGAGCAGAGCTAGTCTTGGAGCACCACTGGGTGTAGCTCATCCCCAGGGCTGCTGTCAGTGACGCTCTTTCCTTCTCAGCGTGGTGATCAGGCCTGTTACCCCCTCCCCCATTTCCTCTGCCACTTTATTGCTCAGGCCACCCCCTCTGGTCGCCTGTTGAAGCTGGGCTGTCTGAGGCAGTGAGGGACAGCTCTGACCATCCTGCCGTCCCCTCTGCAGGTGTGCGACTCTGACACTGTGCTGGACCCTGCCTGCACCATTGAGATGCTCCGAGTCCTGGAGGAGGACCCCCAAGTCGGGGGAGTTGGTGGAGATGTCCAAGTAAGAAGTGACCAGGGACTCCTGGGGGTGGGGGAGGGTTGGACTTTCTGCTTGCTGATGCAACTGGGTGGATGGGGAGGGGTCACCCTGACAAGTCAGTGGAGCAGAGGGGTGATCCTCTTGGATAGTTCTCCAGGTAGCAGCCTTCCACTTGCTGCCTTCCACTGACCTGCTCTCTAAAGCTGAGGGGGAGTCAGTCAGCAAGAGATGTTGTGTTCTGAGGCCAGTGACTATGGAGGTGCTACCAGCGCCCCAACAGGGGACCCCAAGGAAACCTTTGCTCCTGGGGATGCTGTGCTGGGCAGCTCTGGGCAGTGTGTGTGGAGAAAGGGCCGCCGGTCCTCTCCCTGGCACCAGCAGCTCCCGCGGCAGAAGGGCCACATGGGCGGCTGGGTGCGGCGCTGCATTTAGATCTGGTTTATCTGGGTAGGGGATGGGGTTAGAGTTGGTCCTGGCGGAGCTAGGAGGTCACGTGGTGTCGGGGACGGAACCCGGCACTTGCATGCCAGGCCCGTACTCCAGCCCAGAATACGCTCCACGGCCTGCGTCGCGTTTTCTGTGATTCCTTCTCTGTCACCACCACGGGCGGTCTCCTGAGAGCTGAGGTGGCTTTGTTGCCAGGGCAACTTCAAGTGGGGTAATCAGTGCAGAGGTGGGGGGTTGGCGGCTTTGAATCTCAGCGTCTCCAGCTCGGGCTGGGCTAGGACCGTGGCCAGGAACCCGAGCAGTGGGCCGCAGGGCCCGGATTGGGGAGCCCTCCTGGGCCTGCCGTGTCTCCTCTGGGGCCTGTGTCCTCAGCGGAGGGGTCCAGCCTCTCCGATTCCCTTGCAGATCCTCAACAAGTATGACTCGTGGATCTCCTTCCTGAGCAGCGTGCGGTACTGGATGGCCTTCAACGTGGAGCGGGCCTGCCAGTCCTACTTTGGTTGCGTGCAGTGTATTAGCGGGCCCCTGGGCATGTACCGCAATAGCCTCCTCCAGCAGTTCCTGGAGGACTGGTACCACCAGAAGTTCCTAGGCAGCAAGTGCAGTTTCGGGGATGACCGGCACCTCACCAACCGAGTCCTCAGCCTCGGCTACCGGACTAAGTACACCGCACGCTCCAAGTGCCTCACAGAGACCCCCACCAAGTACCTCCGGTGGCTCAACCAGCAGACCCGCTGGAGCAAGTCTTACTTCCGCGAGTGGCTCTACAACTCTCTGTGGTTTCATAAGCATCATCTCTGGATGACCTATGAGTCTGTGGTCACGGGTTTCTTCCCCTTCTTTCTCATTGCCACCGTTATCCAGCTTTTCTACCGTGGCCGCATCTGGAACATTCTCCTCTTCCTCCTGACTGTGCAGCTGGTGGGCATTATTAAGGCCACCTATGCCTGCTTCCTTCGGGGCAACGCCGAGATGATCTTCATGTCCCTCTACTCCCTTCTCTATATGTCCAGCCTCCTGCCTGCCAAGATCTTTGCCATTGCAACCATCAACAAGTCTGGCTGGGGCACCTCTGGCCGGAAGACTATTGTGGTAAATTTTATTGGCCTCATCCCTGTGTCCATCTGGGTGGCAGTCCTTCTGGGGGGGCTGGCCTACACAGCGTATTGCCAGGATCTGTTCAGTGAAACGGAGCTGGCCTTCCTTGTCTCGGGGGCCATCCTGTATGGCTGCTACTGGGTGGCCCTCCTTATGCTCTATCTGGCCATCATCGCCCGGCGGTGTGGGAAGAAACCAGAGCAGTATAGGTTGGCTTTTGCTGAGGTGTGACCCAGTCCTTACAGAGTGCAGCGTGGGAAAAGTGCAATGGGGAAGGGAGGGAAGGGGATGGAAGAGAAAGATGGGGTGGGAGGGCGGAGGGCTTGCTGTTTTCGTTTCGTAATAGTCCGCTGGACAAATCTGATGTGCAAAGAATGGTGACAGTAGTGTGGCCTGAGGGCAGCTTGGCTCGGAGGATTCCAGCTCAGGGCGGCAAGAGAAACTTGAATTTTTAAGGCTACCTGTCTGCCTGCCTCCGACACATACTTTAGTCTCTGGAGGATTCTACTTCCTCCCCTGGCCTCCAAGAGGGAACTCAGAAGTGTGCTAAAGTTAGTTCCACTAAGTGGCAACTTCTGACGCGTGAAAGAGCAGCGCTGCCTGTGGGAAGGGGTTTTTACCCCCCAAACACCTTCAGTGTGGGGAGATTTGGGCCAGTGAGTAACAGGCCCCTCAATGTAGTTATCAATGCAATAAGATTGTGCCTGAGACACACAGCCCAGTAGCCTGGGCTTTGGGTATCAGAAAACAGGGTCCAAGAATGGTGCTGTATTATGTGATGTACCCTACTCCACACCCCCCCATCCTAAGGATGAGCCAAACCAGCAACGAGTTAGCACTGAACTGTTTTTAAATGAATTTCTGAGCATTAGTAAGGAAAGCTGGCAGGACGAACAAAGATCGGTGCTAAAGCCAGGGTTCCAGAGGCCTTAGGTTGAATGTTTCGCCTGCAAACTGGTCAAGACTTTTTCCATGAGTTTTGCTGTGATCTCTGCTGGGGAGATAAGATGTTTTGGTGACCTACTGAGAAAGACTGAATCCCGACAATCAAAAGGAAGTCTTGGGTGTTTCAACGTGTCTATCCCCAAATTCCTCTCAAATTCAGCTGATGAAAAACAGCTTCCTCACTTGGTTTTAAGGTGATGCTGTCACCGCTGCCAACCTCTTTGTTATCATGGGTGTTTCCAAGTGGCAACTTAGGCCGAGCTTGGGTTCTCACAGGCTCCTCTGCAAAGGTGAGTCTGCCCTCAGCACACGGAGGGAGAAACCTGGCAGGGGCCTCTGGACAAACTGGCTAGCCTTAGAACTGCCTGAAGAGGTTCGTCGGCAGCTGGGTAGCACATGCGCCTTTCAGGCGAGTGTTTGACAATCACCTCCAATGGAAAGCTTTCCGGTGTCCCCTGAGCGGTCATCTCTGAGAACATCTATTCTCCTGAGACTTCTCCAGAACAGTTACAGCCCAACTGTGGATGGTCACCGCTGCAGTTTGATCAGAAACATAGTAGGAGATGGAATCCTAAGGTGATCTCTCTCACCCAACTCTTCAGGCTGTTTGCATTTTGAGTGCGGAGAAGGCCACTAAGAATCTGCAGTCCCAAAGACTGTTCTCAGCGCTCGGGTTCAGGGGTGACAGTGGTGCTTGCTTGCCTGTTCTCTCCAAACCTTCCTCCTCTGGAGTGCTGGCTCCCCTGGGAAGGGGCCTCAGGCCGAGCAGTGGGAGGTGGGAGCGACACCTCAAGCGTACCGGGGGGCTTCCCACAAAGGAGGAACATGTGCTCGGGGACACATATGGCACACCCAACCCAGGTGCTCCCCTGTCTCCCATGAACTTGCGCCGTCTCACAGCCTCACTCCTCAGACTGCTGGCTGACGCCAGGCCCACCTGCGAAGGCTGGGAGGTGGCAGCAAGCATTTGCTAAAGGCAGTTATTCCAGGCCCTTCCTTGTTTTTTTGCTGGCCAAGAACTATTTTGAGCACGACAATGGAGGAAATCCGGTCAGCCAACGGCAGAGCTCAGGCCTCACCAAGGGCTTATTTTTCTTCAGCTTTTACTTGAAGGTTAATGGGGCTGGACTCGGGACGGGACCTCCTGCCCTCCCTGCTCAGCTCTGCCTTGCACTGTGGGCATCTTCTCTCCTCACACCACAGGTAGGCAGGTACAAGTCTAGGCTCACAACATTTGACCTCGAGTGGCTTTTCTAAGTTATTTTGTACTTTTTTCAGCAGTAAAACCAAACTGGGTCTTCAGCTTTATCCCCGATTTCTTGCAAGGGAAGAGCCTTTATACAACTGGACCATTTTGGTTGTTTTCTCATTGAGAATTTTAATCCTCTTTTGTATTATTTCTACGGTAATTTGTAAACGTATTTATTTTTACTTTTTTTTCCAGGTCAAATTTTTTATACTGCATTTATTTGTCAAAATAAAGATTCTCACATACTGCTGGCTACTGCTGAGGTCCTTCTCCCCTCCCCCCCACCTCCCATCCCACTCCCTCTGTATTTACAGCTCCCTCCCTGCCAAGGAGGCATTTGAGAAAGTCGTGTCAAGGTAATTCCAGTGGAGCGCAGGAGCAGAATAAGTTGTCACGGCTACTTCTGGACCCAGAAGTGCAGCGGCCCACCCTGACCACTCATACCGAAGGTGGCTTAACTGATACGGTAGAGGGTGGGTGGCAGCTCTCAGGCAATGACTGGCAGAAAGAGGCCTAACTAAAGCTAAGGAGGAAATATAACCCAAAGCTTGCTTCCGAAGGGATCTTAGGCCCCTGGGCTCTACTGCAGGCCCGATGGGTATGAACTGGCCAAACTGAACCATACAGAGTAATGGGTTTGCTTCCTTACCTGCAGAACGGGTAACAAAACGGACTGACCGCAGAACCCTCTCATCCCATTTATTAAAGAAACAGTAAGAAAAGATACAATGCAGGAAACACCAACCATCCTTTCACATCAGGCTGAACGAAGCACAGTGATTTCTCCCCTCCCCCGCCCCCACCCCAAGCCCCATTTTCCCATCCACGTCAGTTTCAATCTTTGAGGTTCTTTGATTGGGAGTACCAGCGGGGAAGATGGATGAGCCGTGGGGCCTTGGTTCTGGTCTCCTCTTACGTCCCAGGAGAAGATAGCTGCAGGCCCAGCCAGCCGGGTGCTAGGCAGAGATGGCGGGCCTCTGAAGGGTTAGTCCACCTCCCTGTTCTGTGTTCAAGCCCCCCAGGGAAAGTATGGCAGTGGAGGATGACCAGGTCCAAGCTGCTGAAGCATGGTCCATTTACCGATGTGACATTTCTAGAAAGCAGTAAGCTGATTCTCCAGTGGTAAGCAAGGGACTACTAAGAATTGGGACCTGCAGGCCAATGTATCCCTGAGGAAAAGTCCACGAGAACAATTCGAGAAACCAGTAAGAAACAAGGGGCAGAAAGCTGTGAGACAAAAGCACAGCAGGCTTTCAGAGGGCGGAGAGCCTTTCCTGCAAGGCCGGGATCGTGCTCCTTTGCCCTAGTCCATGTCCCACAAATAACATTTCACTTTGAGTCAAGAAAGCAGAGGAAAAAGATGGCTCATCTGAACCTGAACCCCAGCTATGTACTTCAGACTGTAGCTCCAAATCTATTCTTTACCTAAAACAGTCCCTGCCCAGAACCACGGTGCCTAGAAAACATGGTGGTCCTGGAGAGGAAATGCTGTTTAAGGGGGTAACATTCCATTTGGGTACATTGCAGACATTGCACCCCCTGGTCTGGAGAACGCAGCTGGGTTTGTGCCAGGGAGGCCCCCCACTCTAGGAAACGGGACCATAGTCTTCCCTACAGGGCCATTCATCCTTGGGAAGGAAGTCTGGTTGAGACCCATGGACCCAGTTGGTCTTGCAAAAGGAGAAGGGTTCATACCCATCGGGCCTGCAGTAGAGCCCAGGGGCCCAGGAGCTGACCTGGGAAAAGTAACTTGACCAGGGCCTAGCGGGCCACTAGACCTTGGGAAGGTAGCTGGACTTGGACCTTGTAAGCCAGTGGCCCTTGTGAAATTGGCTGGACTGGGGCCTACTGGCCCAGAAGCTCTTGGGAACATTGCTGAACCGGAGCCCTGGAGGCCAGTAGACCTTTGGAAAGTAGCTGGGTTTGAAGCCAATGTTCCAGAAGACTGAGAGAAGGTGCCTGGGTTCAGTCCCCCTGGACCTGTCCCTCTTGGAAAAGGATTCGCATTTATTCCCATCGGGCCAGCTGGCCGGGAGAAATGAGCTGAGTTAGGAGCCATGGGGCCAGGAGCCCTTGACATGGGAGATGGATTTGGCCCCGAGAGGCCCATTCCCCGAGAGCCAGGCCCAGAGTTTGGGCCTATGGGACCCGGTACTCTTGCCATGGAGGACGGGTTTGTGCCCATGTTTCCAGAAGCCTGTGAGAAAGAAGCCGAATTTGCTCCTAAAAGACCTGCTGCTCTCAGAATTGGGGCGAGATCCAGGCCTTGAGGGCCAGTCATTCTCAAGTTGAGACCAGACCCTGTGCCCAAGAGGCCACCCGCTCTGTTGTCCAGGTTAGGGCCTGGACCCAGGCCACCTCCCCTGGGGTTGGGCCCAAGGCCTGGGCCCAAGCCACCTGCTCCCCTGGGGCTGGGTCCAAGACCTGGGCCTGGAAACATACCTGACCTTGGGGCAGGATTTGTACCACCAAAGCCTGATCTCATATTAGGATTTGGTCCAGGACCCAGACCAACAGGCCGAGCATTGGGAGGGCCATTCCCAGAACTCAACATGCCACCGGATCTCAAGTTGGGTCCTGATCCGGGGCCCATGGGACCCCCACTTCTAGGGTCGGGCCCAGCACCCAGAAGACCACCTGATCTCGGGTTAGACATAGGCCCTGGCCCTGACAGCCCCCCTAGTCTCTGATTAGACATAGGTCCTGGGCCTTGAAGAGCCCCGGCTCTAGGATTCAGCGCCGACCCTGGGCCGGGACCCAGGAGGCCACCTGGCCGTGAGAAAGACGCCGCGCCTGTGCCGGCAGAATGCATTCCTCTGGGAAAAGCAGCCATGCCTGGGTCTCGAGCCCCAGCAGAGAAAGGTGCTGAATTTGAAGCTAGCGCGCTTGATGAACTTGGAAAAGCAGATGGGTTCCGTGGAAACGGGGCCAGATTTCCACCAAGGGAACCGGCTGCCATAAGGAAGGGATCCGAGTTCATGCCCAGTGGGTGGCCAGTGTTCAGACCAGGACCCCCCTGTGGTCCCAGGGAACTGTCGAGCCGTCCTCGAGGTGGCAGGGGAGCACGAGTCCAAGGAGTTGGCCGCTCTCTAGGGAAAATCCGGGGTTCTTTCATACTTTCTTGGGGACGTTAGTGATAATGGGCTTGGGGCGAGTTTTGAAAAGGATCTTGTTTTTGATGAGGGCTGTCACCAGGTACCGGGTGCCAGTACTGCAGCCAAGTTCCTCACAGTCCTGCTCCGTAGCAGTGTGTTTGACAAGGACAGCAAAAGGTTTCTCCAGGTGGATGATTTTCCCATACAGGATGTGATGCCCCACAATCAGCACAGGTATTCCCTTTGGCGGAACAAGAACAAGATGCCTGAGGTTCAGGGCAAGGTCAGACCCCTCCGGTGCCTTAAAGCTGCCCTCGGCAGCACTGCGGCACCTCCGCTCCCTGGTCTGGCTACACCACTGTCAACCCGCCCCTGTGCCCTTTTCACTCTTCCTAGCTCCCAGGAGAATGGTCACTGTTCTCAATAGAGTTCTTCCAGGTTCCCCCAAGTTACAGTTCCCTGTTCCTGCAGAGATGGGGGAAGAACAAGCAGATAGCTCAGCAGATTAGCTAGACCTTGAACAACAAACCTGAGGGCAGTCCTCATTCTGGGGCCCTGGGAGCACCACCTTGGTGTAGCTTGCTTTCCTGAGGCATTAGGCTGGGAAAGAAAAGCCCCCTCACCTCAGTGGTGTAATGTAGGTCTCCCAGGAGGTTTCCAGCTAATCCAGTGCTGTAGCGAGCCTCGATCTCCCCCTGTAGCTCCAGCAGCACCCATTCTGCCAGGCCTCCAGCCCCAGCACTGCAAGCAAAGGGCTGGCGGTTACAATATTTTTGAGGGGTGAAGGATGAATAGTGTCCTACACCACCATTCAAGGTCCAGATGGGCACAAGTTCTTGGGGGAATTAGGTAGTGCTGGGCACTAAACTAGAGACTGACGTACAAGAATTTGCGCAAGATATACCTAGGACCCCCAGGTCTTCCAGAAAAATGCCAACTCTATATCAATCTAATACTCAAGCTAAGTATGTCACAAAATGTACTTACCTGGAAATAACAATTTGCACCATCAGCTTTCCGTCTTTAAAAAGCAACTGAAATTAAGCTGTAGGGTGAAAAAAAAAGTGATTTAGAATAACAGCAACTAATACTTAGCATTGTGTGCTGGGCATTTTTCTAAGTACTTAAGATACATTTGTTCACTTCCGTAATAATACCTGCAATACATCAAGATTATTTCTGATCCATACTCAGCAATGCTGTGGATCAAATTCCAGGCTCTCTAGAGTACAGTGTATGTGCCTGGCCTGAAATCTGTTAAACTGATACTGTACTCAACTGACTTTGAGGAAGATTAAGAGTCAGCTATAGTATGCAAAGTTAACAGGTCTACTAGTCAGAATCTGAGCCCAAGAAATATATTCTTGACCACTGTAATTTGCTGTTCTCAAGAATATTCTACTTCCTACTCTGAATACTTCTAAAACAAACCAACCTAAGGAATGTTTTTATATTTTCCCTGGTAATAGAAACTTTCAAGTAGGGAATGGACAGTATAGCAGTTAGGGCACTTGCTTTGCCCTAAACCAACCTGGGGTCCCTAGAATCCCAGATGGTCTCCTGAGCACCACCAGGAATAATTCCTGAGTGTAGTGTTAAGAATAACCCCTGAGTACCATCCCAAGCATAGAAAAAAAAACCTTCAAGCCTACTACTCTGATTACATTTTAAAGTTCAAAGGCCCTCCTTAAACCAAAACATCTGTGAAAGTTCTTTAAATTTTAGATTTTAGTGGATGAATCTCATTCAAAAGGTTCACATATCTTTCACGTGAAACAAAATCAACTTTTATCTTATACAACAGCACCACCTGCTGGCAAGTTTGCTGCATTCTCTAGGTATTGCTTAACAGTATTTTCTTCCTGGGAAGGATAGATCCATAGGGAATGAGGGTTTCTGGCTAAATCCTTCCAGTGAATAGACAGAACTTAGTGGAGGGATGTCAGTCCAGTGTTTACCAACTGTACCTCAGAGAGTTAACAGGTATAACTGTGCTCAAGCTTAGCAAACACTCATTAGAACGTTAAACCCGCTTCTTTCGTGATACAGTACTCTCCAGGGAAAAATGTGTTGCCAGCAGTCTTGGCCTCTGGAGGCAGATGGCAGTTCTACACTTGAGCCCCAAACATTTTGGAAGCATGAAGTTGGTGGATTTATTGGACTTTTAATTCTTGTATCAGCAGCAGCTAATTTTTTGCTTTTGCGCCACACCTGGCCATGCTCGGGGATGCCAGGGGTAGAACATGGTCAGCCACAGGCAAGGCAAAAGCCCCATTTGCTATGCCATTGCTCTGGCCGCACAGCCGAGATTTCTTACCGAGAACATATACACAGGTGGTATCTCAGCCACTTGAAAACTATCTGACGTGGGGGTTCATTTTCACTTTGCAGCAAGACTGAGACAGACCTAATCTTGCTTATACATGGCACATGTAGCCAGCGCGTGGTTGTCATGAGGATTGAGTTCATCTGTATCTCAGCTCCACTCACATTGAATATCCTTCCAGAGAAGAAAACTAAGTACCAGAGAGAGCAAAGGCATCAAGAGGCCATTCTCAAGTAAGCCAATGCCTTATTTTCGCCCTACCTGAGAACAGGAAATGCTGGGGAGGAGGGCAGAGATATCCTGACAGAAAAGGTGGCCCCATTACCACCATCAATTAAAAGCATTTTAAATCCCTTCTGGGATCCAGAGGGATCACTCAAAGCCCAGGTACTGTCCCCAGCATTGCGGAGTCCAGAGCAGAGAGCCAGGGAAAGCCTTGAGCACTGCCAGGTGTGGCCCAAAACAAGCCCAAACAAAAATTAAAATAAAACTAAAATATAGAAACTTCCCTTGGAAAAGTGAAAGGGAGAGGATGCAGTCTGAGTGGCTACCCTTAAAAAAATCACATATATATGTGTGTACACACACACGTATAATATATATATATATATACACACACTCTATGGTTTCCTGGAGAAATTAACAATTCAAAACCACAGACCTAGCAAGCTGGAGAGATGGCACAGTACGTAAGATGCTTGCCTAGCACATGGCCTGCCCCAGTTCAAGTCCTAGCACCACATATGTTCCCTGAGTTACACCAGGAGTGACGCCTGAGCAGAGCCTGGAATAAGCTCAGGGCACAGACGGATGTGCCCCCACAAACAAAACACCGAAAGCCTAAATTCAGGTTCTAGCCTGTAATTCTTAACAAGTCCCTTAATGACTGTGGGGCAACCGACCTTATCTGATTCGAAACTATTATCGAAGGCCAAATAAACAAATGCAAGATGCCTTAAAGATCCTGGCACCCCAGGGAGAGAGCTCAAGGGCTGGAGCACATGCATGCAAGAGCACCAGGTTTGATCTGGTCCCCAACACTCAGTCCCCGGGGCACAGCCAGAAGTGTCCCCATTACCATCCTCTGGGTACTGTCATGAACAGGTACACTCCTGTTTCCCCCAATCACCATGCATATTAAAGGTTAAAGTCCTAAGAGAATGGGATATATAATAAAGTACAATGGGCTATAATCACAAAGGTAAGTGTATTCATGAACTTGAAAAGCCTCAGTAACTAGCAAACAAGCACTCCAACCCATGAGCTATCCTTGAATACTGACCCCCAAGCACAGCACAAGGTGTTGCTCTAGAGTACTGCCAGTGTGGCCCCTGCAAACCAAAATCCTGGGCCAGAGAGTACAGTGCTGAGGTGGTTTCCTTGCCCACGACAGACCCCAGTTAGATCCTTGGTACCAATTAGGGTCCCTAGAGCATTACCAGGAGTTTCCCTGAGCACCGAGCCAGAACTAAGCCTGAACCAAATAACCACCCCCTGCCCCCCCACCAAAAAGATTCTAAAGAATACAACCTCACTCATCATCTTCCTAGTCTGCTCTTTTATAGGTTAGTAACAATTTTGCCAGACTCACTTCCTTCCATGCTGCAGACACATTTACAAGTGATACACCAGTCTACATCTGGTTTTCCAAGGTGAGTGTCCCCTGGAGAGCACCTGACCAACTCAGAGGGGCAGTAATAGCCTCCAGTATAATTGGTGGATTGCACTGTTTCCTTAAAGGGAAATTTCCAGGGGCTGGACAGAGTGTAGTGGTTGAGGCATGTTTCTATAGGGTTGATACCTCGGTGCAGCCCTTGAAGGCCAGACTGCCAGGGTGGCCTGCACATCACTGACCCTCAGGATCTAACAGCATCACATCCTCCTTGGGCCCTAGCACTGAACTAACAGCCCAGTTGGCCAAGAATAGCCAAGACACCCCCCCAGTAAAGGGTTAATATTCAGACTACTGAGCTTTCCTACACCCCCCCCCCCAAAAAGAGGCAGGAGATCATAGAAGTGTGGGATGTCTGGTCTAGGCCAGAGGAGCCCATAGACAGAGCTGGTTGCATTTATGTACATGAGGATACATTAGCCAAGCAGAAATGAGGGCAAAGGCAGTCTTTCGAGTGACTAAATCTGAATCCTACACTTTTAAATAAAAGTCAGGGATGGGGGCCGTCTTGGGGGAGCTGGTAGGGGCAAGGCTGGCCATAAGGTAGGTAGCCAGGGACAGATCTTGGGGCCTCTCAGAGCTGTGCTTTACACTTGAACTATCTCTGGGCCTTTTCTTGCTCTCCGAGATTACCACTCTAAGAACTATTCTCAAGAGCAGGGATCAGATAGATGTTTTGGGTACTTCACTGATGACACCCCTGGAGGATGCTAGTAAGTACCCCACGAGCATGAAGCTGTGAAAAAGAAGGGTAAGGTCCAACCCGTCCCTTTTCCCTTGAGATGGGTTAGTAGGAAAACAGAGAAAGAAGTATGGGTCCAATAGTAACAATACACACTGCAATATAATTTTCTGTATTTTCAGTCTTAATTCCTTCCAACACTTAAGACAACTAAAGCAATTGCTATGTGTGCTGAAATTTTGCTTGTGTAGTTGTAGCTTTAAACCTCAAATTAAAATATTAAAAGAAAACTCCCAAGAGTCTAGTTTGAATTTGGCTAGGACCAACTAGCTTCCTTTGGTTAAAATAATTATAAGTCAATACTCTTAACTGCAAAGCCAGGGAGAAATTTCTGCAATGTTACTTGGTTTAAGCAGTACAGCAAAACCCCCGTGGGGCCCTGGGTTGGATCCCCAGCACTTCATGACCCCTTCATCCGCAATGGGAATGGCCCTCACAATTATCAAGATGTTTAGATGCATTCTATTTTCAGAGTGAGGTCGCTCATGACACAGCTAGTGTGGACTTGGAGAGGTGAGAAGGTATAGAAAAAAACAGACCTCTTCTCCCTGCAATTAATTATTCCATCTCATAAAGGGAGGGGCATTTTTTCTACTGAGAATTTCTGGATCTTCATATAGCTAAATAAGCAGTAACTAAATAAGGCTTAAATTCCTGAGTTGCCAAATAACAGCTCAGTGGGTTTTGTTCTGGGGCCTCGCCTGAGAATGCTCTGGGGCACCATGCAGCACCAGGGATGGAACCTGGGTCTCCTACCTGCAAGGCAGACACTCCAGCCTTCAGACCACCTTCCCAGTCCAAACCAATTCTTGTGCTAAAATAATTAAAAAGGTGGAGTTCTTCCCCATGATCTTGAGAATCATTACTTAGCTAAGCCCGCCCTAAACTTTCCTAGCCTTAAACCTAGAGCCAGTTTGGAGGTCCTCATTCACGACACTCTGGTGTTTCTCAATGGGTGTTCCAGATGGCTGCAAGACTCCTGAACAAACCAGGGCAGCAAAGGAACCAATAACCCTCAGAGCTATTCCCAGCCCTGAAGGGGAACCTAAATCCAGCCCCAAAGTGTGGCTAGAATTCGACCAATCTAAAATGCATCTTAATTAACTGTTACTGGAGACGTAACTGGCGCCTGCTCTAGCAAATCGATGACTAACGGGAAGTTAAGTGATTAAGTGATTAAGTGAATTAACTGTTACTGGCTTCTTGTTACCAGCTTCTCTTTTCTGTAGTATTAAACTAAAAATCTAAAAAAAAAAAAAAATCAATGTTCTATAATTTAAGGGAGGAAAATCCTGTGAAGCACTATCTTCACACTACAAAAATGCTTCAGTTCTCCCTTTTTAACGTTAAGAAGGCTAAACTTTTGGAATATTTACCCATTTCTTGGTTTTTGGATCACACCCGGTGATGCTCAGGAATCACTCCTGGCAGTGCTTGGGGTACCATTTGGGATGCCAGGGATGGAACCAGGGTTGGGTGCGTGTAAGGCAAATACCTTACGCACCGTACTAACTCTTTAGCTGCACTAACCCAGATTTTTATACACAGGACACCCTAAAGACTGGCAAAAAATCTTTCAGAAATACTAAACCTACAAAGTAGCGGACTACAAAATCAATGCACAGACATACTGCATTTTTATATGCAAACAATGGAGGTGTAAAAAGGAATCCCATTGACAATGATTTTAGAGACAGCAGGTACTGTCAGCAGAGTTGGGAAGGGAGCCCTGACCCGGCTACAATTGGCCTCTCTTGCAGCCATCCAATTCCTACCTCACTCTGCATGGCTGGAGAGCTCCATGGAAGATACTGCACTTTTTCCCAAGTAACATTGTAGAGTAAAAATAAAACCTTATCACATTCAGTTGATAAGATTTAGGTTTCTGAAACCTAAATGGCACCCCCAAGAGTCAAAATTTTACTCTAAACCTCTGTTCTGGTAGAGGGTAGAATACACTGAGACTAAATTGAGACTAAATTATTTCCTTCTCCCACAAAATTTTAGCTATTTTATTCCTTGGTTCCCAAACTCAGAGTGTGAGCAATGATCTTTGTAATGCTAACTGCCCCCAAAATAATAGATGGCAGAAATGTGGTAAAGGGGACATAGAACTTTCACTGACTCAATGGTTTAATCTTTGATTTTTTAAAAATGTTTTACAAATTAAAACCCTTTTGTATTTTAAGCTCTTTAAAAAAACAAAAAACCAAAACAGAATACAGACTTTAACTTTTATTCACTTTAAAAGTTGCTTTTCATTAAAAAAAAAATTAAAGACAGAATGTTAGCAAATTGCTAAACCATCAGTTAGCATTTACTGACCTCTTAATGAGTCCCAGGGACCTGAGGTTTAAGGAACAGGGAAAACTATGTCAAAACTGAATTTTTTGATTCCACCGCTAATCCTGCATAACAAAGATAACTGAACCTCTTTGTTCCCTGTCATGAACAAAAAGAACCTATCTCAAAGTGTTGAGAACTGAGGGCAGTTTTGGCAAAGTCCTCCACACATTGCCTAGGCATGGTAAACCTATATAGTATCAAGCTAGTGGTTACTGGAACAAGACATTTCTTTAGTTTATTATGCCCAAATAGAACATCTTACTACTACCCTGCATAATTGCTATTTTAAATGTGTAGTGGACAAAAAAAAAAAAGAATCCCTACAGAAAGTAGGTGGTTGGAATAAAATTAAATCTACACAATGGGAGAACAATTTAAGCCCGGCAGGTCTCACCAAGCTGCTCCACGGATTCAGTGCTGGAGGGGCTTTTCCTCTAGAGGTGACAATCGTTTCTCTTGTGTGCCTTTCCACCAAATGAACTATACAGCAAAGTTTTATATACAACTGGATACAGGTAATTTTTATTGGCAGTGTAACTGTGGTTGTGACTGGAAGGGCTGGCCTAAGTTTCAAAGGGCACCTGGTCGGCTCCCTTTCAGTGCGAAAACCCTGTTTCTGTAGCAGGTCGCTCGCTCCCCTCCGAAACTGGGCTCTGGCGGGTCAAGTGGAACGGAATGCTTCCAAACTTTTCATTAGTGAGGGGTGTGTTCGAAAACGTGTGAATACTATGCGTACACGTGGTTCTTTCCCAACACGTTTTAGGATTCCCGTGGTGGAGGGAATCGATTACTGGGATTTGTAGACAATGGGTGGAAAAGATGGCTTCGGTCGATCAGTTTTCTCCATCTTCTGCTACTCTGCAGCCCCGTCTCCACCCTTCCTCGTCCTCCTCTCTCGGGCACCCTGCCGCCCCCCAGCCCCCCCAGCCCCCTCCCGAGCCCAGCCGGAGGGGCTCCCCCTCCACCCCGGATCCTCCTCCCACCCGGCCCCCGCCCGCACGCCCGGCCGGCCCTTCGGCAGCAGCTACACACACTTCCTATTTCTCGTCCCGCCCACCCTCCGGGGTGCCACCCCCCGCGCCCCCACCCCCCACTTTTCGCCAGGACCGCGGGATCCCAGCTCCCGAGCCCCCTTTTCTTACCTCCCAAGGAAAAGAGCCTTTAAACCGCCTTCCTGCACACCCGCGCCCGCCCTCCCCGCCCCCGCGCCCCCAATGGATTGGGAAGGGGGGTGCGCGAGCAAACCGTTAATCCCCCACCCCCCCCACGCACCCTCGCCCCAGAGATGACTCCCTAAACGTTCCTCCTCCGCCGCCCGCATGCTCCAGATCGCTCCCCGGGAACCCCGCCGCCTCCAAGCGCCCCGCGCTCCCCGGGACCCCGCCCGGCGCCTCCCGGCTCTCACTCCGCCCACAAAAGAGCCCGGGATCGCTCTCCCCGCGCCCCCGCCCCCAGCGCCCCCCCACGCCAGCCTCCCCGCCGCCACCGTCCCGCACGGCCCCTCCCACCGCACCTCCCCGGGCTCCCGCGGGGCTTCCCGCGCCCCGACCCGCGAGGCGCCCCGGCCCGCACCTACCTCGAGGTTCCGGCCTCCGCCCGGCTCCCGCTCCGCTCCGCCCCGCGCGCGCCCCTTCCTTCCCGCCTCCTTCCGTCTCCGCGCGGCTTCCTGCCCCCAGCATTCCCCGCCCCGCGCGCCCGGGGGCCTCCGGGCCGCCCCTCCCCCGCGCGCCCGCCCGCCGCTCCCCGCCCCTGCGCTCGCCATGCTCCTCGCGGCCCGCGCCGCGCCGCCGCCGCCGCCGCCGCCGCCGCCGCGCCCGGCGGCCCCGGCCCCCCGCGCCCTGGCCCGCCGCCTCGCCCCGGCCCGGCCCTCGCTCCCCGCGGCCCCCCGCGCCCCCCGCCCGCGGCCTGACCTGCAATGGCGGCCGCCGAGCGCGGCGCCGCGCGGCCAACGGGCGACAACCGAACCTCCCGCCGCCGTCGCCGCCGCCGCGAGCACTGCCTGCGCACTTCCGGCCGGCGCCGCGAGCGCTTCCGGGGCAGAGCACGCGAGCGCGCGCACGTGGGGCCGGAGCGGGGAGCGAGCGCCCGGCCGCGGGTGAGTCGGGGCCCGGGGAGCGGGGCGGCGTCGGGGCGGGGGCCAGACGGACGTCCCGCCGGACGCCTCGAGCCCTCCAGCCCCCCGGGGCTGCGCAGAGACCCTGCCCCCGAGAGGACCGGGCGGCGGAAGCCCTCGCGCCGCGGGGCCGAGCAACGCCCGGTAGGGAGTCGGCGGAGAGGCGAGGCCGGCTGGCCCCGACCCTCCGCGAGCGGCCGCGGGGGTCGTTGGCTTGTCTCCCCCGCCCCCCGCGGCCCCGTCAATCCCCGGCTCACTCCCTGTGCGCGGGGCTTGCTAACTTGGCGTGCCGTGCAGGGCCCCGGGTGCTTGCCAGGAGGCAGGTTCCTAGCGCCACCGCTCGTCCCCGAGAGGTCGGTACTCCCTCGGAGTTCCAGCACGGGTCCCCCAAATTCTGCATTTAAAAAAAAAAATAATGATGGCAAAACGACTTTGCAGGTGGTTGTGGTGCAGGGAGGGCACAGACCTGACGTCCGTGTAGAAACATTTTGGCTGTCAGCCTTCCTTGCCTCGCGAGGGGGGCCGCCGGTTCGCCTCCTCTGCACCCTCCCCATCCTTTACACGAAATCGGAAGAGACCCGGAGAGCAGATGGTCCTCGTGTGCCCCCGTTCAGAAAGTCAGTTTGGGTTCAGCATTTTGCTGTTAGATCTTGACACAGCAGCGTCTGGAGTTTCCTTTTACTTTTTTGAGCCCACTTTTTTAAGGTAGTGCTTGAGATTGTTAGGGGTCTTCCCCTTTCTTTGAAATATTTTTTTTGGCTGAAACATCCAAAACAGTAGGAGATTGATCATTCTTGTGTGGGGCATGGCAACCTCATTAGATAATTAGAAACGAGATATAATTGGAATCTTGCATCTAGATCAATGAGAAGAAATAGGACTTGCCGGGCCAGAGAGATAGTACAGAGGGTAGGGCTGATCCAGGTTCCATCCTCGGCATCCCATATGGTCCCCACCATCACATATGAGCACCACCACGACTGATTCCTGAGGGCAGAGCCAGGAGTTATCCCTGAGTGTTGCGGGCTCTGGACCAAAAAAACGAAAGAAGGGGAGAAAGAAAGAAATAGGGCTTGCAATACTGTAGCTTAACTTTTAATATAATGACTTTTCTCCCCAGCAGGAATGGGTGAATTTAAGGTCCATCGGGTGCGCTTCTTTAATTACGTTCCGTCAGGAATCCGCTGTGTGGCTTACAATAATCAGTCAAACAGATTGGCTGTTTCTCGGACAGATGGCACAGTAGAAATTTATAACTTGTCAGCAAACTACTTTCAGGAGAAAGTAAGTCATTTGGGGGCCTGGTTTGGTTTTTCTCTTGTTAGTTTCTTAAGTTCCATTCTGAAAAACTCTTTATCAAAGTTTTTTTTTTTTTTTTTTTTTATCAAAGTTTATTTTCAGTGACTCCCAGTGCTTTATCAGTAAATGGATTGCATTTTGTGGTGTGAAAAGCATGTTGTGTAGGTGCTTTTTCCATCCCTTGCTTTTCTTGTCACTTATGATAGTTTGGTCGTTTATGTATTTGTTGAGTGTCTCCCCCACTGAATTTCAGATTTTCCCCAAACACATCAGTGACATTTATAGTTGTACTACCAGCAGTTAATTAGTGACTCAAAGAAAGCCACTGCCTAGTTAGTATTTCTTGACTAAGGTTGCCATTCCTTGGGGCCTGAAAGATAGTACGGTGGATAGAACACTTGCCTTAAACATAGCCAACCCAGGTTTGATTTCCTGCATCCCACATGGTTCCCTAACACTTCCCAGGAGTAATTCCCGATCACAGCCAGAAATAACCCCTGAGCATCACCAGCTGTGTCCCCAAAACAAAATAAGGTATTTATTCTCACCTAGTACCCCTTTATTTTCTCCTCTAATTGTTCCTGTTTCTTGAACAAATAATTCAGTCTGATCTATTTTCTCCCTTCCCTGCTCTCTAAGATTGACCCTTTCACAATCAGCAGAACAAAATTGTATTTGTTGGCGCTGGAGCGATAGCACAGCGGGTAGGGCATTTGCCTTGCATGCAGCCGACCCAGGTTCAATTCCCAGCATCCCATATGGTCCCCTGAGCACCGCCAGGAGTAATTCCTGAGTGCAAAGCCAGGAGTAACCCCTGGGTATTGCAGGGTGTGACCCCAAAAGCAAATAATAATAATAATATTGTATTTGTTAGATTGGAGAGTCATCTTCTTGTCTTTGGCTTTCAGCAAGTTTACAAGCTCATGAAAACTTTGTGAATGCTAAGAAAATACTGAGATGTCTAAGTCTTAATTGAAAACCTGGAGTGAGCTTCTTAATTTTTTATTTTTTAAAGACTTTCAAAGATAATCCTGATCCAAGGAGCAGCATAGCACAGCGGGTAGGGCGTTTGCCTTGCACGCAGCCAACATGACCAACCCGAGTTCAATTCCTCTGGCCCTCTCGGAGAGCCCAGCAAGCTACCGAGAGTATCTCACCTGCACGGCAAAGCCTGGCATGCTACCCGTGGTGTATTCAATATGACAAATACAGTAACAAGTCTCACAATGTTATTGGCCCTGTCGAGCAAATCGATGAACAACGGGAGGACAATGACAGTGACATACATGGATAATTTTGAACATATGTATACAGCTTTGAAACCATCCAGTCAAAAGAGTTCCATTGAATTTGGGGGGGAGGAATAACTATTGTGGGGTCACCCCTAGCAGGAATGGAATGCAGTGCCAGGACCCCAACCCAGGGCAACATACGTGTAAGGCTTAGGCTCTGCCTCTCTTCCTGGCCCAGCACTGATCTTGTTTAATTGGATATGCCAAACACAATTAGATTATTCTCCTGGAAAGGTGTTTCAGAAGAAGTAAAAGCAAAAGAAAACCGATGGCATAGGTAGGGGCTGGAGAGTGAGCTTGGGCTCAAGGCATGCTTTGCACACAGGATTGATCCCTGATCCCCTGTGAGTTGACAGCAGCAGCCCCTGAGAACTCAGAGGGGAGTAGACCCTGAGCATCACTAGGTGTGACCCCCGGACAACAATTACATAATATCTAAAATTTGAACCTACACAAAGTGAAAATGTTAATAGACATTATCTGATAGCTCAAATCCGGTTATTTCTGGGGAAGAATTGTCATTGTCACCATGTTGCATTTTACCAGTAACTAATGAATTTGTGGTCAATTGCAAAGTTTCGGTGTTTCATAGTTTTTCCCAGGTCATGAGTCTCGGGCGACAGAAGCTTTGTGCTGGGCAAAAGGACAGCGGCTATTCAGTGCTGGACTCAATGGAGAGATTATTGAGTATGACCTGCAGGCATTAGACATCAAGTACGCCCTGGATGCCTTTGGAGGACCCATTTGGAGCATGGCTGCCAGCCCCAGCGGCTCCGAACTCCTGGTCAGTGATGAGCTGTTGATAATCCAAACCAGTGTCCCTGGTGTCACCCCAACTCTCTTCTTTACTTTCCTGGGGACATAAAGGTGTATTACCGCATGCAGCAACTCCAATCTTTACTTTCCGAGGAATGCAAGGTTGTGTTAATGCCACGTAGTAACTCCATTCTGAGCTGGAGTTTTTGGCAACCCCAGTACAAGATTAGAGTTGATATTGGGGGTTCAGAATCCTTGTCCATCTGTATTGTTTCTCCTTTAGCCCTGTTTTATTCACTTACGAAAAGAGAAAGTTCAACTTGGTGATATTTCCTAGGGTGTTTTCTTTAGAATTGAAGGTTGTAGAGACTATTTTGGTGTTATTGGACATTGTGTTTATAATTTTTTAAAAATTTTGGTACGGCATATTAAATCCGTCTGTTGGGTCCCAATACACACATGCAGAATAAGAGTTCTTAGAGGTTCTTCCCCAGGCTAATATAGTGTGGAATTGTGTTTCACTGGTGTCTCTACTTTTTTTTTTGATAGGAGGTGTAGGACATCATACCTGGAAGTGGTATGAGGTGACTTGAGTTTATCCCAGGTGGTACTTGAGGTTGATCCCAGGACTCTGTCATGCCAGGCATGAGTTCTAACCCACACCACAATGATTATTAAAACATAGTTTAAGGGACTGGAGCGATAGCACAGCGGGTAGGGCATTTGCCTTACACGCGGCCGACCCGAGTTCGATTCCCAGCATCCCATATGGTCCCCCGAGCACCTCCAGGAGTAATTCCTGAGTGCAGAGCCAAGAGCAACCCCTGAGCATCGGTGGGTGTGACCCAAAAGAAAAAAAATTGTTTGAGGCCTGAGTTGGCTTAACAGGTTAAGTTGCATGTAGGAGACCTGGGTTCAATCCCTGGCAGTGCATGGTCTGAGCACCACCACGAAGCACCCCCAGTACTGAGCCCCGAACATCACCAGGTGTGGTCCAGAAACAAGCCAAAGAAATTAGAGCATCGACTCCTTTTTGCCTCTTGTAACCATTAGAATTGGTGCTTCCAGGCATTTGATTTGCTGTGATAAATCTGTAATTCTTTTTTGATTTGCACCGTTTGTACAATATCTTGACATGTTGTTGTAGGGCTGGAGCGATAGCACAGCGGGTAGGGCGTTCGCCTTACACACGGCCAACATGGCCGACCCGAGTTCGATTCCTCCGCCCCTCTCGGAGAGCCCGGCAAGCTACCAAGAGTATTCGATATGCCAGACACAGTAACAACAAAGTCTCCAATGGAGACGTTACTGGGCCCGCTCGAGCAAATCGACGATCAACGGGAGGGCCTTGACATGTTGTATTTAGATTATAAAACTAATTGATTTTTTACTTAGGACGTGAGTCTCTAATAGATTATTTTTTAAATCTCTTTTCTCTTGATAGGTTGGCTGTGAAGATGGATCTGTGAAATTATTTCAAATCACTCCTGATAAAATCCAGTTTGAAAGAAATTTTGATCGGCAGAAAAGTAAGAATCGTTTTTGGTGGGGCAGTGAATAACTTTTAACAAGACATTGTGTTTGTCACTGGAGACAGAATATTTGCCCATGAGGCCAGGTAATTTTATCTACATGTGAACTCTTGAGTGCCAGGTATATGCTAGACACATCCGTGCAAAGAAAGCTAGCTCGAGCTTTCTTAATTATGTAGCCTGATGGTGATTTCCTGTTAGTCTGTAACATGGAAAACTAAGAAGTTCCAAGTAGGAAGGCTAGTGTTCCTGTGTAAATCAATTTGTTCTCACTTTTTTTGCTTTGTTGTTAAGTTTAAGCAATTGCATACAGTCACGGAAGTTGGATTCAGTTGGAGGGAACTGGAGAGTTAGTATAGTGCTTGCCTTGTATGCAGCCAACACTGGTTTGATCCTTGACACCCTGTATGGTCTCCTGAGCGCCCCCAGGAGTGATCCTTGAGGACTGAGCCAGGAGTAAGCCACAAGCACCACCAGTTATGGCTCAAATTAAAGTGGAATTTTTTTTTCTTTAGAAGTTCTGGGTTTTTTTTTTTGCTTTTTGTGTCACACCCAGCGATGCTCAGGGGTTACTCCTGGCTCATGCACTCAGGAATTGCTCCTGGCGGTGCTTGGGGGACCATATGGGATGCTGGGAATCGAACCCTGGTCGGCCATGTTGGCTGCGTGCAAGGCAAATGCCCCACCCGCTGTGCTATCACTCCAGCCCCAGAAGCTCTGGTTCTTAATCTGCTGGTGCATTCAGATTGAATGGCAGTTGCTATAAAGACATCACAAAGTTTTTGTTATAGAACAAAAGAATCCACGTATAATATTTTGACTGTGCTTTTATAACACAAAAGCAGGCTCTGAGTATGGCTCAGTGATGGAGTACAGGTGCTAGCGATAAGCCACCTAGATGAGGCCCTAGGGTCAGTGCCCAGCATCACACAAAATAAAAACATAGGGGGCAGTCACAATTATGTTACGTAAATAAAAGAAAGCCTGAGCTAGCTAGGGATTGCTTCTAGCATATACCTTGGGTTTGTCTGGTAGAAAGTAATACTAATTGTCTTAAGTATTTTCTGTCATCATTAGCTCATTTATATAAAGTAAGTTTTACTGAGCTACATCCCTGGTCCTTATTAAGTCTAGTCTTAATTTTGGAGGGGTGATGCTTATTTAAATTTTCATTAATTTGCGAAGTATAAAAGACAAATTAGGGGCCAAGGAGATAGTATAGTGGGTAGGGTATTTTTTCCATGCTCTTAGCCAACCCAGGTTCAATCACAGTCATCCCGTATGGTCCCCTGAGCACTGCCAGGAGTAATTACTGAGCACAGCCTGAACACCATTGGGTGTGGCCCAAAAACAAAAGAAAAATTAGGTGTCTCAATATTTTGTAGACATTTTGCAACTAGTCTTCTGAAGTTTTTGGTATATTCATCTCAGCAAATTCATGTAACTGTTTGTGTTGTTTTTCACATGTTTGTGCTTGTTTTTCACATGTTACATCACAGACATCTTTCCTTGCCATTTATGCCAGACATCATTTCATTCATGGTGTTCTGTAAATGAACCAAATTCCTGTTGGTGGGTATTGGTTGTTTTCTTTTTTTTTTAAATCATTACCGTTTATGCTGGGCTGGAGCAATAGCACAGCAATATGGCATTTGCCTTGTGCGCGGGAGGCCTGGCCGAGCCAGGTTCGATTCCTCTGCCCCTCTTGGAGAGTCTGGCAAGCTACCAAGAATATCTCGCCTGCACGCTAAAGCCTGGCAAGCTACCCGTGATGAATTCAATATGCCAAACACAGTAACAGCATATCTCACAATGGAGATGTTACTGGTTCCCGCTCGAGTAAATCGATGAACAGGAGGACAGTGCTTCAGTGCAGTACTACAGTTTATACTGCAATAAGCATTCTGTTTTTCTTTTGTTGTTGTTGTTTTTATCTGTTTTTGTTTTGGGCCAATCCCAGTAGGGTTCAGGATTTACTTCTGGCTCTGAACTCAGGAATTACTCCTGGTAGTGTTCAGGGACCATATGGGATGCTGGGGATCAAACCCTAGTTTTCTTAGTGCAAGGCAAACGCCCTGCCCACTGTGCAATCTCTCCGGCCCCCTCTGTTTTTCTTTGTGTGTGTGGTTGTTTTTTTTTGTTTGTTTATTTTTTGGTTTTTTTTGTTGTTGTTTTTTACACCTGGCAGTGCCCAGGGACTGTTCCCAGCTCAGTGCTTGGGGAACTAGATCAGGCCACGGATTATACCCTGAACTTCTCCATATGAAGAATGTGCTCCAGCCCTCTGAGCAGTTCCTGGGTGAACATTCTTAGCTAACTAATTTTGGGCGTTTATGCTAGTATTTCTCTTTGATTAATCAAAGATTTAAATCCCAGTATGTTTACTGGGCCAGATGTGTAAGTTTCATTAAGTTACTACCAGATCACCCTCAAAAGGTTGTGCTTGTTTGTACTCCCATCAACCATTTATGCATTATGGAAGTAAGTAACAGATATTTCATCGTGAGATCCCAAGGGAAATTGCTTCTTTCTGTGTAAAGCAGTTCTTTATGCAGAGTGCGGGAGACGAGAGCCGCGGTGCTCTGTAGATAATGTGCACGGAGAACTCAGTTACCCTTTGCTGTATATTTATGTGCGTGTCACTTTCTTTTTTGTTGTACAACTCCCGAAGGTCGCATCCTGAGTCTCAGCTGGCATCCCTCTGCTACCCACATTGCAGCTGGCTCCATAGACTACATTAGTGTGTTTGATGTCAAATCAGGTGACTGTTTTTCTCAGTTCATTTGGGGTGTGGGTCTCATTTGTCAGCTTCACATTTCTGGGTTTCCAACAGCTTGAGCCCTTGTCATGCTTTCGGTGACCTGTAGGGCCCAACTTCTCATTGGCTTTATGAAATACGCTCTTTTCTTTGACTGTTACTGACACTTTTCGGAGAATCTTGATTTTTTTTTTTTTTGAGGAGGTACAGAGTTTTTCTTCATAACAAGAATTCACAGTACATTGTACCATCATCAGGTGAAATGTTTGCTGTTAACAATCAACAGAGTACCCGCTTACGTGACTCCATTCTCTGCTCAAAGGAGACGCCTGTCTTAGGAACGTAAACTCCCGCTGGCATGGCTCCGGAGGCCCGAGGCCTGAGGCCCAAGAAGTAGAAGGCTTGTACTTTCTCTGTTCTTGGCCCCCAGACTCGCTCAGTGCGGCGGGCATGAGATTGCCTTTGGCTTGGGCGGTGGGTGTGAGACGGGAGATGAAACAGTCCCAGTGTCTCCTTCTCCCTCGATGCTTAAGTGACTTTTCTTTTTTTAATTGTTATTATTACATTGTATGTCTTTTAGAGGTCTGTATCACTAATATTTCAGAGCATCTCTGAGGTTAATAAAGAAGTGGGCATCCCCTTATGACCTCAAAGTCACGGTTGATATATTGATTTTCCTCTTGATGTGGTGCAGCTCCAACTTATGCTCCCATTTTGACTTTTTAGTTATAAACCATTGCTGGCTTCCACTGTTAGTCCTCTTTCTTCTGAACCCCTGGGATGGCTGTTTCACAAGTTTGGTCCCTTCAGTAGTAATGATACAAATATTTGTATGGTAAATTACTTTTGCTTTCATGTAGGCTTTTTGTTAGTGTTTTCTTTACATTCGAGTAAGATGCACATGATTTTCTAAATCTTTTCTCTTTTGAAGGAAACTGTTCCGGAGCTTTCTGCCCTGCTTCACAGTCCCGAGATAACTTGACTCCTGCTTTCCAGGCATTCCAGGGGTCTCGTGCTTGCTCTCTCATTTCCATGTCACTTTCCTGGTTTATTTTATCTAGACTTGCTGGATCCTGAGGAAGAGTTCATGAGAAGAACCCTAGGTTGAAAATTATTTTTCCTTTGAATTTGGGCACCAGGGTCGGCCCCATAGCGTCCCGCTCCTGTTCCGTTGTGACTCTGTGCTGCTCTGCGTGGGGCTTCTGTGTGGGTGCTGCAGGTGCTCGTGTTCCTGCAAGTGTTCTGAGCCTTCCTTAGTTTCTTTTCTGAAACTTAGCGGTTCCGTTTCTTGCTGTATAGATCTCAAGATCAATGGTTTTATATTCTTGTTAGGCTCTTAATTCCCGCCCAAGCCACCCAAGACATGTTTTCATAATAATTTTAAATGCGGGGCTAGGGAGATAATACCGCGGGTAAGGTGCTTGCCTTGCACGTAGCCAACCCAGGTTCGATCCCAACATCCCATATGGTCCCCTGAGCATCACCAGGAGTGATTCCTGAGCATGGAGCCAGGAGTAAGCCCTGAGCATCGTCTGGTATGGCCCCCAACAAACAAAAATCCAAATAATCTTTGATGAGTTTCTCTATCTTCCCTTGAATACTGGCTTATTTCCCCCCCCCCTTTAATTTTTCTTTTTTGACTTTCTGGGGTGGGGGGTGCTCTGGGCAGCTCTCCTGGGCTCCCTCGCGCAAAGCCTGTGCTCCAGCTGCCGAGCCCCTCCCCCGGCCCTGCCTGACTTTGTTCTTCCCGACATGCTTTCCTCTGTCACCGGTTTGGCCTCTGTAGGACAGGCTCTCCATCCACATGTGTCTGGAGATCAGACTCCGCTCCATTCATTTATCTTTCCATCTTTTTTTTCCTCCCCAACCTTTTCATTTTTTGCTGTTTTCAGAGTTCCTGTTTCTCCTCATCCCCCACCCCCACCATTTTCTAGAGTGTTCTTTCTTACAGCATTCTCTTTTTGTTTGATGACATACTCTTCTTCCTAAGGCTGTTCATGATAGCATTTGCCAAGTGTTCCTTCCCTGCCTCTTGCTTCCTTTCTTATTATTTCCGGTCAGTCTGGCCTCTCTTTGTAGGACAAGCGGTCCCTCGCATGCGCCTCTCCCTTCTCCCCAGGCCTCGCTGGACATTGCTCCGTCTGGACTGTAAGGGCAGGCTCTTCCAACTCTGACTCACCTGAGTTCCCAGAAATGTTCTTTACTTTTCCTGTCCGGTGATAATAAACTGGGTATTAGCATTCTAAGGCGGAGACCAGTGTTCTCAACATGTGGTCAGTAACTTTTCACTTCATGATTTTCACATCGTACTCCCACTCCCACCGTTAGCTGCCCTTCCTCAGAAAATAAATCTCCGTTCTGATTTGAGGTGGGCTCGGGGACTCCCGACTTCTTAGGAGTCGGGTATTTGGGGGTTTTGACAGCTGCCTAAGCTTTCTACCAATCCTTCCTTTTGACCCCACTTTTCATATCTTGTTCTGGAGCGCTGGGCCACTGCTTTCTGAGGCTCTGGGGGGCCTGCAGTCTAAATCGGGCAGTGTCGTGGCTTCCCCCACTTCGACTTAGGACGTGGTCTCAGTGTGCTGCTGAGTCGTCACCGTCCAGGTCTCGTCCAGGTTCCCAGCATTTCTTGCTTCCGGTCTTTCTCCCCGTCTCCCACGGGCTTCTGGAAAAGAGCAGAGTATACTGTGCTTGAAACGTGGCCAGTTTTGAGTAGTAACACCTCAAATGTTTCTTTTCCATCCCCTACCCCAGTCTGTTTCCTCCCTCTGCCCCTCATGTTCAGACAACCTTGAGTTCAGGACCGACTTCATGCCTGTTTGCTGTCTGTCTGTGGTCTCCGTAGGCAGCCACCACCTGAGGCCTCCTCAGGTTTCTGAAGACCACGCAAGTAAGTACCATCCAAATGTGAGCTTTGCCTCTTTTTCAGGGAGCACTGTCCATAAGATGCAGGTGGATAGGCAGTATATGGGTGTGTCTAAGCGGAAGTGCATCATCTGGGGCGTGGCCTTCCTGTCTGATGGCACCGTCATCAGTGTGGACTCTGCCGGGAAAGTGCAGTTCTGGGACTCGGCCACCGGGACACTCGTGAAGAACCACCTCATCGCCAATGCTGACGTGCAGTCCATTGCTGTGTCTGACGTGAGTACGCTCCTGTTCTGAGCAACTCCCACGGACTTGGGTGTGGGGCTGTGGCTGCTGGCTCAGCAGAGCAGCTTCCTTCAGCCTGATGACAGGGGAGGCACTTCCACTCTACCCGTCTCGAGGGGCTGGAGGCAATAGCATAGCGGGTAGGGTGTTTGCCTTGCACGCGGCCAACCCGGGTTCCATTCCCAGCATCCCATATGGTCCCCTGAGCACCGCCAGGGGTAATTTCTGAGTGCAGAGCCAGGGGTAACCCCTGTGCATCGCCAGGTGTGACCCAAAAAGCCAAAAAAAAAAAGTTAGCATACCCGTTTCGAGCGGCGAGTCCTCTCCTGCTGCCTGCTTGGGAAGTTAGAGGATCACTTCATAGTGAGTTTGAAAATGCACATTCTCTTCTGTTTGAATGAGATTTTAGTGAGTTTGTATTGAATAGACGTGCCTCTTCCCTTTTGGTAACATGAATTTCAGTTCAGAAAGCAGAGGGAGGGGCTGGATCGATAGCATAGCGGGTAGGGCATTTGCCTTGCACGAGGCCAACCCGGGTTCGATTCCCAGCATCCCATATGGTGCCCTGAGCACTGCCAGGAGTAACTCCCTGTGCATTGCCGGGTGTGACCCAAAAAGAAAAAGAAAAAAAAAAACAGCAGAGGGAGGCTTTGAAATTGGTGGAGAGATCATTTTTTTCTTTATCTTCTGAGCTGATTTTGTTTTTTGGGGGGGTTGCTGGTGGGTCTTTGTTGGTTTTGTTTTTGGGTTATTCCTAGGCTCCGGGAGAGCTTGGGGAACCTCTTGGGTGCGGGGGGTCTGCTCTGGGTCGGCCGCTCCGCCCTCTCTCCAGCCCTTGCTGTCTTAAAGGGGGACATGCAGGTCGTAGTATAGTTTCCTGGGGCTGATTTTTCTGCCTAGTCCTGATTCACAGGTTTCCCAGTACAGTTGATTTTTTTTTTTTTTTGATAATGGGATTCCTTTCAAGAGCAATAGCAGTCAGATCAGCCTGTTGGGTCTTCGATGTTTTTCCCCCTCACCTAGGCAGTAGGAACCCATTTCTGCAGTTTCGGGGAGCGTTTGCTTTCACGGACAGGGCTGTCCAGAGATGGTTTTTCCCCAGGTGAAGCAGCCAGCCCACACCCCATCTTTGCCCTCACTTCCTTCCTCTTGCCTTTGAATTTCCGTTCTTTTTCACTTCTGACAGTTCCGACCCCGGGGTTAGAGTGATGAGATTTGGGGCCAGTGTAGTTTTTTTCCTTATAAATCCAGCGAGCTGGGTCTGGTGGGAGCCTGCAGCCACTTGGTGTCTCTGTTTCCTCTTAGCTGATGGTTTCCCACGAGCATCCTCCCAGCTAGGGCTGGGCTGTGCCCTCAGTCGTCCGCCCACGTGTGGCCCGCGGGTCTCTGCTCTTCTTTCTCCTCCATCACCACCGTGTGCCTGCAAGTGGCCTCGAGAGCTGCGGGGGTTGCTGAAGGGGCACGGTCTTGTCCCTCATCTCTGAACGTTCTCCTTTCCTTACCTCTGCTGGATAAAACGGGAGGGTGAAACCGTGACTGGTACAAACATGAAGTGGAAACGTGGCCAGAGATTTTTCTAGAGCTCATTATTAACTAATGAGGGAGCCAGTGAGACGTTACAAGCAGTTCAAACGGAGATTTTAAAAGAACACAGATGTCTAGAAGGCGCAGGAATGCTGAAATGAATTAGCAAATTGTTACAGGGCTGTCAGTGTCCCTGGGGCAATAATCAGTAGCTTTCACTTGGGGAGAAAAATCTGCATTTCTGTACAGAGGAGTCTTTTGCATTGCTCTGTTTTTTTCTGCTACTTAAACTAGCTGCAAGACATCAAAGGGCTCCTCTGCCAGGAGGGAATGGCAGTTTCTCCCAGTAGTGCAGGTTACTGAAGGAGCAGCGCCCTCTTGGCATGGTCACATTTGGAGTTGGCGGCCGCCATTTGATCAGACTCGTTCAGACTCTCCCTTGACTGGCTCCCTAGCTTTTACTCTGATCTAACTAACTGCTGATGTTCCTCACTGTCCTCTCTTTCCCAAACTTACGTGTATTGGGGGCCAGTGAGGTAGCTCAATGCTGCGTGCAGTCTTTGCATGTGGGAGACCTAAGTTCAGTTCTTGGCTTCATGTGGTCCCTAGAACACTGCCAAGAATGACCCGTCGAGCACAGAGCTGGAGGTAGCCTTGAACATGAGCGGATAATGGCTCAAAAACTAGCAGCAACAACAACAACAACAACAACAAAAAACAATTATGGGGCTGAAGAGTAATCCTGGGGTTAAGATACTTGCCTTGCCTGCAGCCAAGCCCGGTACATTCCTTGGTACTGCATGGTCCCATATGAGCAACACCCCATATGGGCTCCTGAGCCCACCAGCAGTGATCATCCCTGAGCACAGAGCCAAGAGTTAACCCTGAAAACTGCTGGATGTGCCCTCCACCACACACGCATATACCACACCCTGTCTTCCCCCCCTCCCCAAAAGAATAGAGAGAACTTTTTTTTTTTCTTTTTGGGTCACACCCAGCGATGCACAGAAGTTACTCCTGGCTCTGCACTCAGGAATCACCCCTGGCAGTTCTTAGGGGACCATATGGGATGCTGGGAATCGAACCTGTGTTGGCGGCGTGCAAGGCAAATGCCCTACCTGCTGTGCTATTGTTGCAGCCCCGAGAAATGTTTCTTTACAGTCAGTTTGCGGTACATATTCTTTCGTCAATAGCGGGCACATTGTTACCTTGCCTCCTAGTGCTGGACATAGGTGCTTCCCCTTAAGCGACCCACACAGAAAACGTCAGGGCAGATTTTTCAGACTGGGCCTTGTTTTGCTCAAATGTACCTCCCCGATGATTTAATTTCTCAGCAAGAAGACAGTTTCGTGGTGGGCACAGCCGAGGGAACGGTATTCCATTTTCAGCTGGTCTCTGTGACTTCCAGCGGCAGTGAGAAGCAGTGGGTGCGGACGAAGCCCTTCCAGCATCACACCCACGATGTGCGGAGCGTGGCCCACAGCCCCACAGCCCTCATCTCCGGAGGTGGGTGCAGGCCTCTGCGGCTTCATGTGGGGGTAGCCCAGCCCTGCCTCTTCCCATCCTGATGCCTTTTCCCCTCTCCCCCCCGCCCCAGGCACCGACACCCATTTGGTCATCCGTCCTCTCATGGAGAAAGTAGAGGTAAAGAATTACGACGCCGCTCTCCGGAAAATCACTTTCCCCCACGTAAGTGTGAGCTCCGTCTCCCTGTGCCCTTCCCCACACGCGCCTGCTTTCTGGACAGGCTGGCACAGCTCTCGGGCTGCTGCCTCCTTCATTCTCCCTTGCTGCTTTTACTTCCCCTGAAGTTGGATTTAAGGGAAGGGAGGGGCAAGGGAGAAGAGATGCCTATCGAGTGAAAAGGGAGGAATCATGTCCCTCCTGGGACAAAGGTGCCCCCAAGCTGGAGTGCTCCTGGCGTTTCCAGGTGACCCTCCCTCTGTTATGTTGATGGGGGCCTAGGGAATTGCCTTGGCACTTCTGGACAATCTCTGGGGTCATCGTTTTCTTTCCAGGTCACCATGCTTTATGGGAGTGTTGTTTGTTTTGAAGGTGGGACTCTGAATTACTCTGGGTGGGAGCAGGAAAGTGCAGGTTTCCGATGTTCTTTCGAGGTAGATGGACATCCCTCCGAGCTGGAAACCCTCTTCCCGTGCCAGCTTCAAGTGTCTTTTTCTTTGAAGCAATAGACCTTACTGAGGCTACCTCCCTCCTTATCTCCTGAGCCTAGTCACTTTCTGGTCACCTGCCACCATCTGCCATCGTGTCTTTCCTCCCCTGAATGCATTGACACTAGCTTGGAAATGATGCATTTGTGTTACCTTCATTGATTATTCACAAAGCAGTTTGCCTCATGGCATGAGGCTTCAGGCACATCCCTGTCGCCTTCTGCTTGAAGACCTCATTCTTGAGCACGACACATGGGCCCATCTGGATCCTGCCCTTCCGCTTCCCCTCACTCGCTTGGAGAATCTCTCCCCCCTTCAGTTGGGCCCTTCAGGAAGACTATTTGTCCAGAGTTTCTCTTTTTTACCTTCAACCTCTTACATGCCATTGCTTTGCTCTGAGTGTCTCATCCTACCTTCTTTGACTAATTTTTATCAGCAAACCTCATTTGGGCTCCTTGCCTTCCCCCCATGAGACTATATTTGGTTTCCTCGGAGCGTTTCTCTGATTACCTGCTGTGCTTAGCCATGTTAAAATTCTTAGGGCTGGAGCGATGGTCCAGCAGGTCGGGCCTTGCCTTGCATGTGGCTGACTGCAGTTCAGTCCCTGGCACCATGCATGTTACCCTGAGCCCTCTGGGAGTGGTCCCATAGTTCAGAACCAGGAATGAACCCTGAGCACAGCCAGGTATGGCCCAAAACCAAACCAAACAAGCAAAAAAAAAACCTTAATGTAATTTCCATTAATCTCTTATCTCCCTTTTATACCATAAAATTATTTTTTTAAAAAACTGGTTCCCGTTCCTTTCCCTTTATTCTCTCTGTTGCCGGGACCGGAGAGAACAACAAAGAAAAGCACAGTTGGTGATTAGGCCAGAAGGTTCTTGAGATGATTTTTCACTAATCTCCACTTGAGATTATTTTCCACCAGAGTCTTAGGTCTTGCATATGGCGGTACTCGGATCATTTATCAAATAAATGGCTTTCAGCCTGTGTTGAGACAAGAGGTGACCTGGCTTATTTATCACTTTCCAACTCTTGCTTATAGCGCCGGCTTGTTTCCTGTTCCAAGAAGAGGCAGCTTCTCCTATTTCAGTTTGCTCATCACTTGGAACTTTGGCGGCTAGGATCTACGGCTGCAACAGGTAAGACGTTTTTCGAAAGCTATTTCCAGTGAAAGAAATCAGGAAGAAGAAGTCAGAAAGTGGAATTGTGGTTGAAACTGTGCTTGTGGGGAAATGGACGTAGATTTTTCTTTATCCATCAGAGTGTTGGTTCCCCCGCCCACTAAAGAGGCACTGGAGTTCTTCAGAGTGTTTTGGTCATTAAATGGGGAACCTCAGTTGGAAGTACCCGGTCCTGCCTGGTAAAAGGAGGCTGTGTAGATATACGTGAGTGACAGTATGGTGGCCCTGGAAGTGTTTGGGTTTGGTTGATGTGTGGGGGAGTAGAGGCTTTTTGCTTTAGGGTCTAAAACACTTGAAGTTGAAATCAAGGCCCCACGAGAGAAGCCCACTTCCACCCCTCGGCACGTGTGGCTGCAGGACAAAGCTCCTGAAACTCAGTGACAGTCCCGCCTCAAGCTAAGAAAGGACCCACTGTTTGCCTCTCCACACACCGTGAGGAAACGGGCTGCTTACTGATGTGCAGGTTGAGTGTTTAGGGCATTCATGTGGTTTGGTTTGGTTTGGTTTGGTTTGGTTTGGTTTGGTTTGGTTTTGGGGGCCACACCCAACGATGCTCAAGGGTTACTTCTGGCTCTCCACTTAGAAAAATCTCCTGACAGTGCGTGGGACTCTATAGGATGTCGGAGATATGCCAAGCGCCCTACCTACCATACTATTACTCCAGCTTCTAATGTGCATTTTTCTGACTTCCCACTGGATAGAGAGTTTATGCCACCCAGGAATATCTTTTTAAAAGAAGTATGTACAAATAACCTTTTTTTTTGAGAGAGAGAGAAAAACCTCAGGGGTGTTTCTTTTTCCAGGGAAGAATGGGGACACCCTTCCACTCTCTAAAGGTGCCGATCACTTACTGCACCTCAAGACAAAGGTAAGCGAAGCTTTTGGGGGGTTATGTTCAAAAATATGTATAGTTTTAGGTTTTCTTTTGTACTAAAAATTTATTTATTAGGGCTGGGGCAATAGTACAGGGGTTAATGTCAGCTTAACAACTGACCCCAGTTCGATCCCTGGCTCCATATTGTGTCTCCTGGACTCTTCCGGGAGTGATCCCTGAACACAGTCCTGAGCATCCCTTGGGAGTGCCCCAACAGTGTACTCCCACCCCAGTTGATGTTATTGATTAAGGAAGTTTAACTGCTTACACTCCTAAATCCACATGTTTCCGTTTCAGAACTTTGAGGATTAATCGACCCCTCGATTTTTGTAAAAGTTAACATTTTTAGTCTCATACTACGTTGCCAGAACTAAGTTTCTTGTGAATTTAAGTTGGACATTCAAAATTTATTGGATACATGACTACGTGAAATTGGTTTTTCATCTGGTATGACACTTAAAATTTTCTTTGCATATTTTTGAAAATTCAAAAACTAAAAAGGATAGTGAAATATGCGCCTCCTAGCCAGAGGCTGTTCCTGCCTGTGGTTTCCTGTATCTGCGCGGGAAAACACGTTCCTCGTGTGTAACCTTTCCTTTTATACTATGAGAAGCAAACTGGTATCTTCCTTTTTAAAAGTTCACATTTTTATTACATCAGTGTTTGCAAAAACCATCTTAGTATAAATGACAGCGTTTTTTTTTCTTTTTGCGGGGGGCAAAGGGGGCCACATCCAGTGATGGTGGGACTAACTTCTAGCTCCGGCTCAGGGATCACTCCTGGCAGGGACCGAGGGGCCCTATGAGATGTCAGGGATCGAACCCAGGTCAGCCATTTGAAAGACAAGCACCTTCTCTGCTCTACTTTCGCTCTAGCCCCCAAAACTCTCAGTATGGACCACCATGCCCGCTTTAATTCCAGTCCTATTCCAGAAATAATTGTTACTCGATAGCCTTTGGGGTCTTTTTCTCTGAAAGAATGTGTATTTTACTTTGTTTTGAGTTTTTTTACAAAATATGTAAATGTTACATTAGACTTTTGTGTGTGTTCTGCTGGCTTTTATGCTGACTATTTCTTCTTTTGGTTGGGGAGTGTGATGGATGGTTGGCTCATGACCCCGCAGTTCTCTGGGGACCGTGTGGTACCCGGGATCACTCAGGGCTCTGCCACGAGCACCTTAACCTCTCTGCTGTCTTTCCAACCCTGCTTACTATTTTGTTCTTTTCTTTTGTTTCTTTCTGGGCCACACCTGGTGGTGCTCAGGGGTGACTCCTGGCTCTGCACTCAGGGGTCACTCCTGGCAGGCTCAGGGGACAATCTGTAGTGCCGCAGATGGAACCCGTATGGGACACATGCAAGGCAGGCGCCCTTCCTGCTATACCACTGTTCCACTCACTGCTGTTTTTTTTTTTTTTATAACAGTTGTTCAGGCAGGTTGTCAAACATGAAATCAGCACATAGACATTTGGTACCAAAGAGCCTGTTTCAAGTACCTCACTGTACCAGTTAATAAAGTTGACGTTTTGTATGATGGTACAGATGAAGTTTGGAAGGATCTAAGCTCGGTTTTCACAGATCTCTGTTCTTGGCATTGGAAATCAAAGCCACAGATTTAGATATGCCACCTCTGGAAAAATTACAGTGACAGCCTAGGAACGTCAAGATTGTGTCAGTTCTTACAGCTGTGTCTGAATTTATATCAGCTTGAGGGTCAGGTTGCAGTGAACTTTGTCATATGAAGTTGGCTGGGGGGAGACGTCAAGATTGTGTCAGTTCTTACAGCTGTGTCTGAATTTATATCAGCTTGAGGGTCAGGTTGCAGTGAACTTTGTCATATGAAGTTGGCTGGGGGGAGACGGCCCAAAGGGCTGGAGCACATCTTTGCATGTTGAAGCCCTGGATTCAGTTCCTCTGAACACCACCAGTGTGCTTTCTCATCCCCCCAAAAAGATCCTGCCTGAATGTTGACTCTGATTTCTGACACGCCAGGGTCCTGAGAACATCATCTGCAGCTGCATCTCCCCCTGTGGCGGCTGGGTAGCCTGTTCTACAGCTTCCCGGTTTTTCCTCTACCGATTGAATTATCGGCATGACAACATCAGCCTCCAGAGGGTAAGTGGTGAGCCAGTGTGGCCTTTGTGTGAAGTGGAAATGTGCCGGCTATGAGGCCTTGCGCAGGGAGACCTAACTGAAGACAGCTGTTATAAAATGGTCTTTTTATTTCCATTTTGAATTGATTATGCTTTGGGAAGGGTAGAGAAATACCAGGAAGTGACAGGAAGGCTCAGGATTTTGGAGACCCCAAGGGCCGTCTCAGTGTCCCAGACATCGTTGCGCCCCGCCGGGTCCCTGGCGACCCTCTCTCCCAGGAGCATCTGTGACATTAAGCCAGCAGGGATTAACTTTTGATGCGCTCTGGGATCCACTGACCTCTCTTACTGGTTTTCCATATTGGTTTATTCCAAGGTTTCGAAACTGCCAGCATTCCTTCGCTCTGCCCTTCAAATTGTGTTTTCTGAAGATTCAGCAAAGCTCTTCGTGGCCTCAAACCAAGGGTCTCTGCATGTCATTCAGCTGTTGGAAGGAAGTTTCAAGCACCTGCACACTTTCCAGCCTCAGTCAGGTGGGAATTGGGTTTCTGCCCACCAGACTTGTTCGTCTACGAGAAGTCTTTTTTCCTTTTAGACCTTCACTGGGGCTAGAGAGATTGCACTGTGGGTAAGGCACGGGTTTGATCCCAGCATCCTGTATGATCCCCCAGGCACCACCAGGAGCAACCCCAGAGCATGACCAGCTGTAGCCCAAAACCTAAAAAACCTTCGCTGGGCCAGAGAGATATTGAGGTTAAGGTGTTTGCCTTGCAAGAGGCCAGTCCTGGTTTGATCCCTGGCCAACACATGTCCCTTGAAGGACCACGAGAGCATTGCCAATTAGAGAGCCAGGAGTAGCCCCTGAGCACCACCGCGGGTGACTAAACAGTGTCTTGTCTTCCCTCCCACACTCCCGAGATAAAAATAAACCTTTGTCAGGGCTCACTAATGCTCTCCTCCACTCTTCCAAACACGCCCTCCCAGGTTTGCAGTTTAAAGTAGGAGGAGAATTTCTGGCAAATGAAAACATTTGATGAGATCTGAAACGCTGCTCACACCTACTCTTTTCTCACTGGGGTTTTGTTTCCTTATTTGGGGCTAGCAAAGTTTCATCACCTTGGCGAGTTTTGTCAGCAGAGCAGAAAGAAAATTAAGTGGGAAAAAGTTAAGGTCATCTAAAATTCTGACATCCAGAAAGAATTACCATAATATTATTTCCAGTATACATGTTGGTGTTTTATAGATATGTTCATTTTGGGAGTCTTTTCTGGGGGGCTTTCTTTGGGTTTGCGAAAGCCAGACCTAGCAAGGCTCAGAGACTGTGCCTGGCTCTGTGCTTAGGAATGACCCCTGCTCTGAGACTTGAACCAGGGTTGGCTGTGTTCAAGGCAAGTGCCTTAACCACTTAATCCTTATACTACCTCACCACTTAATCCTTATACTACCTCTCTGACCCTTCATGATTTATTTTATCTGGTTTTAGGGCCACACCCAGTGTTATTCCTGGCTCTGCACTTAGAAATTACTCCTGGTGACTTCAGGGGACCATTGGATACTGGGGATTGAACCCGGGTTGGCCTTGTGCAAGCAAGCACCCTCCCCACTGGGTTTTTTTAATCACTCCAACCCCATAGTTTTTTCAAAGGCAAACTTGCGCATAACCATTTTATTACTTGTAAAACATTCATGAACATGTTTTCATGTTCTCTGAGTATTTGTGCATGTGCGGGAAGGAGTGAGTGTGTTAGTAACTATTGCTGAGTGAATGATGGAAGTCTGAGAAGTCAGTGTTCCCCCTAGCTTTAGCCTTCTGCTTTGTCCAAAACTTGGGCAGCTTGAGTGGGGGTTTTTTTTTGGGGGGGGTCACACCTGGCAATGGTCAGGGGTTATTCCTGGCTCTGCATTCAGGAATCACTCCTGGCAGTGCTGGGAGACCATATGGGGTGCCAGGGATCAAACCCAGGTTGGCTGTGTGCAAGGCAAAAGCCCTCCCCGCTGTACTATTGCTCCAGCCCCTTCGCACACTTTAAATTCTCTATACACAAGGTACTCCAAAGACATAAAGGAAGTCAAAGAAATTAAAGTGACATTTTTATGGAGTACTTACAATAAATCTAAGGCTCTTTAGGTGGGCTGGGAAGATAGTACAGCAGGCAGGGTGCTTGCATTGCACTCGACAGACCCGGGTTCAATTCCTGGCATCCCCTATGACTCTCAGCCCCATCACAAGTGATCCCTGAGCATATAGTGCCAGGAGTAAACTGAGCACAGCCTGGTGCTGCCCAAAAGCGAACACAGACTCTGGGGGCCAGAGATAGTACAGGGGCTAAGGCGCTTGCCCTCCATACAGCCAGCCCCATTTTGGCTCCCAGAACCACATACGGTCCCAAAGTCACTGCCAGGTGATGCCTCTGAGCCGTGCTGGGGGTGGCCCCAAATAACTAAAAGGCTCTGTCTTGCATTGAGCACACCTTAAAATTAAGCTGTGGGCCAGGGATGTGACTCAGTGAAAGTGTTCCTGCCCTGCACGTGTGAGACTGCGCACAACGGACATGCTTTAAGCCATGTGTCGTGCATAAAGTATGTGTGCCTCCTTCTTCTCTCACTTAACCTTAGAGTCAAACTGCTTCCTTTCTAGCCCTCAAGTCACAAATATCCCAGTTTCTGTCACTTAGATCATTCTGTTCTCATTTTCTACCCACCTCACCCATCCTTAGCATCTGCTTTGTCTAAAGCCTTCTCATTGTTTGGGGGTGTTAGAGCACATACTTTGGCATATAACATCACTGACTTTTATCCCACATGAATCTTCATGTTGCCAAATTGGTTTAAAGTCCTTTGATGACAAAGCTGGCTCATACGTGCCTGTCCTCCCTTAGTGCTAAATATACAGCGGGCACCCAGCAAATTAGAGCGGCTTCAAGGCTTCGGTCTGATCTTTTCCCATAACTTTGATGAGAACTGTTTGTTGGGCTGGGGCAGAGCGATAGCTGGGGGAGAAAGGTCTGGAGCACATGCTTGGCCTGTCGGATCCCTGGATTGGGTCCCCAGCACAATGTGGTTCTTTGAGCAGAGTCAGAAGCCACCGGTGAGCACCCAGGCCAGGGGCCGCTCCCACGAACAAAAACAAAACAAAGATCCTATTTGGTGGGAAAGGAATTTACCTAAACAAACTATTGTCTTTGGTAGCAGATGCTCTGGGACTCCGCGTTCCCGAACATAGGCTGTGTCTGACTTGAGGCTCAGCAGTGATGACTAGGTTTCTCTCTCTCTGGCTCCCTTTCACACGAACGCCGGCTAATTCAAGGGGCCAGGAGAAGGTAATAGGCAGATTCATTTGCAGAACCATCGTGGATTCCTCACACAGCCACAGTGAGTGCCAAGCTCCAGGTGTATGTGAGGACCACAGCTAAAAATGTGACTGCCCAGCCCCTGGGTGCAGCGTGACCTCCAGCAAGCACCAACCCAGAATGAGGACAAGCACAACAGCCAGCCCCTGACACCAAGATAACAATGAGGGGAGCAGGGGCAGGAGTTAGCCTGAGTGTCTCACAGACCATGCGCGTTGTCTTCAAGACTGAGCAGGCTGTGAGCATTGCAGATCCAGAGACTCAGCTGCTCTTGCTCTTCCCAGGGTCTGTGGAGTCCATGTGTCTTTTGGCGGTCAGTCCAGATGGGAACTGGCTGGCTGCAGCGGGTACCAGTGCCGGCGTCCATGTGTACAGCCTGAAGCATCTAAAGGTGAGCCAGGGCTTCGCCCTCCACTTCCAGGGCTCACGGTGAACTGGCAGGACCTGGAACTTTCAGGACTTTTATTTCCCCCCTCAGGAATTTTTCCTGTTGATACTTGTTTGGAACCCACAAGCTATAGTCTGTAATGTGCAAAGAGAACAGTGGGACTACTTGTGCATAAATGCTTGGAATTAAGAATTTGGGGGTGATGAGTCCACATCCGTTCCTCTGCTTGGACGGAGAACACTCTGGTTTATCCATGTGAATTATTAGAAATAGTAACAATTGCCTTTGTTTTTATTCATCTGTGGGGGGTGGGCATGCCAAGCATTGCTAGGGGAACCATCTGGTGCTGGATGTCAAACTTGGTCATCCTACGTGCAAAGCATATTCACTCCAGCTCAGAGGGGTCGCTCAGTGGCTGACCATTTGCTTACCATGTGGGAGAATTGAGTTCAGTCCTCGGAACCACTTGGTTCTCTGAGTACCATCAGATGTAGGCCCTGAGCATCACCAAGTATGAACCCAGAACCAAAATACATAAATAAAACACAGTGTAGAACTACAGCTTTCTGCTGTTCAGTGACATCTGTGAACAATCTGTACAGACGTAGGGAATGACAGGAAAGTTTCGCTCTGATGTCTTCTGCAACTGCTGTCATGATGAGTTGAATAGTAAGCTGAAAATATGTTGTTTGCTTTGGGGGCCAGACCCGTGGTACTTGGTGCTCAAGAGCTGCTCCCAGGACGGTGCTGACAGAGGGACCATGGGGAGCTGGGACACAGGAGTCCTGCCTGCAGACCATGCGCTCCAGCCTTCGAGCCAACGCCCTGCGTCCTCAGCATGCTTTCTCTTTTAAAATGAAACAGAGGCTGAAAATGCTCAAAGGGCTGAAGGACTTGCTTTGCACATGCTTTGTGTGTGGGAGCCCTGGATTTGATAGCTTGCACTGTGAGATCCCCTAACACTGCTGGGAGTAACCTCCATGCCCAGAGCTGGTGTAGCCCCTGTTTAGCACCTCTTGTGGTCCGAAAACCAACCAAAATGAAGTTAAAATGTGTGTAGTCTTTGGAGAAGTGCCCTGTCTCTGGGTCTTCCATAGACTCCTTGGCTTCCAAGGAATCTGTTTGGAAACCGGCCTGTGTGGGAGAATTTGTCCAATGGGTTCAGGTATGCTTTGCACGCAGGAGACCTCTGTTCAGTTCCCAGCATTACCTGTCCCCCACCCTTCAAGTACCACTGGGGGGCGCTGAGCCCAGGGGGGGTTCATGAAGGGTTGTCTCATGACTGTCCCTTGTCCCCAGCGTCACTGCACGGTGCCTGCTTACAACTTCCCCGTGACTGCTCTGGCCATTGCCCCCAACACCAACAACCTGGTGATCGCGCACTCTGACCAGCAGGTAAGCGGGGCCAGTGGTTCTGAATTCCTTTCTGTTGGACTACAGCTCTGAAGTGGACAGAGACAGTGACACTTTGAAGCTGAGACAGTGACACTTGGGACGAACTTCCTTCGAAGGCTCTTTTCTCCTGTGTGAAATATGGCCTCGGGAAAGAGAGTGGGTTCATCACAGGCCAGTCGGCCTCGGTGGCTGGCTGAGTGCGGAGGAATGGGGGGGCGTGGAGACTCTGGAGGAGCGGAAACTCCACGTCCTACTGGTGCATCAGACACTAGAGTTAAACTGGATGGAGGATGGAATACAACCTGGAGGGTTGAAAGTGACTCAGAGCATAGATTTACATTTGCAAATGAGAAAGTTGGTCTAATCAAGTCACTATTATCAGCAAAGATTAGGCCTTGGTCTACTGACTGTTCCTTACTATGTAAAGAAAAGAGCTTTAAAAGTACCAGAGGAGGCTGGAGAGATAGTACAGCAGGTAGATAGTACACCCATATGGTCTGTGAACACTGCCGTGAGTGATTCCTGAGTGCCAAGCCAGGAGTAACCCCTGAGCACTGCCAGAAAATCAAAACGAATTTTAAAAAAATACTAATGCCTGATCTGGGTCAAAGACACAGTACAGTGAATAAATTTCTTTTCTCTCTCTTTCTGGGTCACACCAGGTGACTATACTCAGGGGTGACTCCTGGCTTGCACTCAGGAATCACTTCTGTAGGTGCTCAGGGAACCATAAGGGATGCCAGGGATATCGAACAAGGCAAATGCCTTTCCTACCTGCTGCACCAGCGCTCCAGCCCTAGTGGATAATCTTGCACACTTGCCTTGCACACCAGCTGATCTAGGTTCAGTCCCAAGCACCTGACACCATCCTCCAAGCACCATTTGGGGTGATCCCTGAATGCAGAACCAGGAGTAGGTCCTGAACACTTCCAGGTGTAACTTAAGAACCACCCCCCCCCCAATTTTTTTTAAACCTAAGCTGTAGAACTGATTATGTTATTGGTAGTGTTTTATCTTCATTTATAAAATGATAGTGTACAATGCAGCATCTTCCTCACTGTGCCATTGAAAAGACTAGATGGGACCTGCAGTGTGTCTGGGTTAGCTCCACGTTCCTACACTCATACATGCTGTCACCTACATGTTTCATCCAGAAAATGAAATCTATTTCAGGGAGTGAACAGTTGCTGAAAACACATCCTTGTCCTCTCATACAGAGTGATGATGGCGACCTAATTCCTTTTACTGCACTAGTTCCTCAGTCGTTGAAGTTGGCGCGAACTTTATCTTTTAGATTGGCCAAGATCAATTAGTTGATAATGCAGTGCTGTGTTTATGAATAAATCGAGTACTTCATATAGCGTATAAATCCGTATGATCCTGTGGGAGAATATTTTGGTGATACCTAGGTAAAAAGAATTGTAAATCTGATTAATCTTTAGCTCTGATTCTAAAAGTTCTTGGGGTGGGGATGTGCTTTTGGGGTCACACCCAGTGATGCTCAGGTATTACTCCTGGCTCTGCACTGAGAAATTACTCCTGGTGGTGCTCCGGGGACCATATGGGGTGTCATTTAGCAAACTTGGGTAGACTGCTCACAAGGCAAATGCCCTCGCTGCTGTCCTAGTGCTTTGGTTTTTATTACACACCTGGTTCCTGCTAAGAACTTACTCCTGGCTCTGCGATCAGAGATCGCTCCTGGCAGGGCTCGGGAGCCATATGGGGTGTTGGGGGTGGAACCCTGGTCAGCCACATAAACGACACTCGCCTTCCTGCTATACAGTCTCTCCAGCCCCACTGTAGGACCTTTTCCTTACATTTTTTCTTACATTTCTGGTTATGCCAAAGACATGAATGCAGGCTTTGCAGCCTTGTTTGTAGTAGCCCAAAATTGGAAATACCAAAACATCTATTGAGCAGAGTTAGGTCATCATGGTACAGCCACAAAGAGTGTGGACTGTTCTCTGCTTTTCAGGGGGAGTGTGAAAAGTCAATTGATACGATCCAGTCATATAATGTGATTCTAAGAGGAAAAAGCCCTGTGCAGGGCTGAAGTGATATTCAGTGAGCTGGAGCACATGCAAAGTATACTAGAGGCCTCGGTGTGATCCTGAGTGCTCCTGGCAGAGACCCCCTCCTCAGAACACAACTGCCCTCCCACCCCAGAAAAGAAAAAGCAACATGCAGAGTATTGCATATTGTTTGCATAAAATAACTGAAAAAAATACATAAGAAGTAGCACACTGCTTTTGGAGAAGAGAATGGCAGATGGCAGGTGTTTTAATATAAACTTTCTTGTACTGTAAAATTCATTCTAAAATTTAGCTTTGAAATGTTTTTTAATTTCTAAACTAAAATACTTTTGTTTAGAAAAATATGGGGATAGGGAAGAGAGATGTGTTGAGGAGAGAATTAAGACTTCTCCAAAGTTGGGGAAAGCCAAGAATCAAAGAGGGGGGCAATCCATTCACGGTTAGAGAGTACCGGGGGGGAAGTGCTTCTCTTGCACACGGCCAGCCCAGGTTCAGTTGGCATCCTGAATCTCATCTGGTGCCCCGAGCACCACCAGGAGTAACCCCTGAATGTGGTTTAAAAAAAAAAATAGTACCCAGGTTAGGTAAGGTACTTGTCTTGCACAGGGCTGACCCGGGTTTGATCTCCAGGACCCCATATGGTTCCTTAAGCCCGCCCAGAGTGGCCCCTAAGTGCAGAGCCAAGAGTAAGTCCTGAGCAGAGCCAGGATGTGAACAAAACACAAAGTTCAAGATTAAAATGCCTCCCTTTAAAATTTGTATTAAAAATGGGGCTTGAGAGGTGGGAGTGATAATACAGTGGGTCAGACATTTGCCTTGTACGCAGCCAGTTTGGGTTCAGTCCCTGGCAAGTCATGGGCCTTGTGCCCTGCCAGGAGTGATTCCTGAGTGCAGGGCCAGGAGTTAGCGCTGCAGGGTGTGGTCCAAAAACAAACAAATAGTAGGAAAACATGGGCCAGAAAGCTAGTACAGGAGCTTTCCTGTGTGCAGCCAACCGGAGCAGCATATGACGTGATCCCTGAGCACAGAGCCAGGAGTAAGCGCCCAGGACCAGCACTGCTTCTGCCCCTGCCAAAACAGTCCTGGGAGAGTATAAGGCTGACTGCAGTCCCGTCAAGGTTGCGTAGGTCTTTCCTGCTTCGGAATGGGGAATAACCTCCCAGTGAACGTTCTCCTCCGCTTCTCTCCTCAGGTGTTTGAGTACAGCATCCCAGACAAACAGTACACAGAGTGGAGCCGGACCATCCAGAAACAGGGTTTCCATTACCTTTGGCTCCAAAGGGATACTCCCATCACACACATCAGCTTTCATCCCAAGAGGCCGACGCACATCCTTCTCCACGACACCTACATGTTCTGCATCATCGACAAGTCGTTAGTGAGTTCTCCGGCGACCTATGCCCCTCCTGCCTCTAGCCAGCAGGGTTCCTCGGTCCTGTTCCCGGGCTCTGGAGGCCCGGGGGCAGGGTGGGCCTTTGTGTGTTGGTGTAGCAGGCAAGGAGAGGAGGTCAGCACACCAACGGTGGCCCTCTCCTCACCTTCCCCCCTGCTCCAGGTCATCAGCGGAGATCTGGGTTGGAGTGCTGGCCCCAACGCCCCTCGGCCGCACGCTGCAACCCTATCCCTGCGCTCCGCTGCGGGGCTGACTGTCTTGAAAAAAGGCCAGCTCAGAAAATTCCATTCCGCATGCCTTGTGATTTAGGTGGGATGTGAGCTTTGCTTTTCCGTTCTTAACTTTAGCCACTGCCAGAAGCTGATTAGCTTCACCCGATTTTATTGTTGTGTTTTTTTTTTCCCCTTGGGTTAGGGGCCAGGACAAGCGCTTTCTTGCCAGAGACCCTGACCTGTGGCCCTGCCTGCCGTGCCCCTTAGCTCGGGTTACAGCCGCCACAGTGTCCTGGGCTTCAGGGGAAGCAGCAGATGGCTCTGAAGGAGGGTGCGTGGTGATGTGTCCCTGGAACTGTCTCGCAGTGGGCCGCGCGCCCTCGGGGCGTGGGAAGCCAAGCTGGCTGACAAGCGCCTTCTATGAGATGGGGCAGGAAGGGCCCCTCCCACTCGCTTGCCCCTTTGTATCTCGGCCCAGAGTGACCCATATTTTTTCCCCAGCCTTGGTGATAAGTCCATCGCTTCCTCAGGCTGGGCAGCATTACTTCCTAAGGAAGTCAGAGATGAAATATCACTTGCCTAGCCAGACGCCACCTCGAAAGGTGTCAGTGACATCATGGCGGGGGGGTTATTGTAGTTTCGCCTGGGTAGAACTTCAGCCACGGGGCCGAGCTGTGATCTGCTTGGCGAGACTTCTCGGGGCAGCCTTCGGAGACCAACTCTCACGCAGCCAGTTTGTTCCCTTGTGACAGAATGTTACTGACAAGACTGGCCAGAAGCCCCAGATGGGTGCTTTGATCTTGCCTGCACCATGTTCAAGTTCTGTCTTGCCTCATACTCCCACCCTCGAGAAGAGCTGGAGTAGTGGCTGGCCCTCTTCTGGAATGAAGAGAGGAGGGAGATGATGAATGCAGAGTATGGTGTTTGGGAGATGGGTGACTGCTTGAAAAACAACGTTGTTCCCCGGTCTGAAAAGCCCAACTAAAGGAACAATTTAAACAGTATCTTTTGGGACCAGAGAGATAATACAGTGGGTAGGGCATTTTCCTTGCACCCAGTCCATCCAGGTTCTATCCCCAGAATTCCATACGGTTCCCAAGCACACTCCCGGTATGGCCCAAAAACAACTGTAGCACTGTCCTCCCGTTCATCAATTTGCTCAAGTGGGCCCAGTAACGTCTCCATTGTGAGACTTATTGTTACTGTGTTTGGCATATCGAATACACCACAGGGAGCGTGCCAGGCTTTGCCATGCGGGCGAGATACTCTCGGTAACTTGCCATGCTCTCCAAGAGGGGCGGAGGAATTGAACCCGGGTCAGCTGCATGCAAGGCAAACACCCTACCTCTGTGCTGTCACTCCACAATAGTAAAGTAAAGGCCCTCCCGTTGATCATCGATTTTGCTCGAGCGGGCCCAGTAACGTCTCCATTGGAGACTTTGTTGTTACTGTGTCTGGCATATCGAATACGTCATGGGGAGCTTGCCAGGCTCTGCCGTGCGGGCGAGATACTCTCGGTAGCTTGCCGGGCTCCACAATAATAAAATAATAATAACTTTCTCTTTTTAGCCTCTTCCAAATGACAAAACGTTACTCTACAATCCACTTCCTCCTACGAACGAATCAGATGTCATCAGGAGACGCACAGACCATGCCTTTAAAATTTCTAAGATATATAAGGTAAAATATCGTCTGTGATATTCTGAATTGTTGGTTCCTTGTGATATTATCAAAATACTTTTAAGTTCCATGATAGAAAATAAGAATGCCTTCATCTTATATACAGAGAGCCAGTTTTGAGGAGTTACATAACCTTTCTGATTATGTGTCTATTGTGTGTTCTCACCTAAGTATATTTGAGATTTGAGTTTACATACAGCAGATTCTGTGTAAATACATAGGTAATGAGAAATAGTGTTGGATTTCAGTTAGGGCCTTTCTGTTAAAGTTTGCTTTCAAAATTTGATTTCTAGGGGCTGGAGCGATAGCACAGCGGGTAGGTTGTTTGCCTTGCATGCAACCGACCCGGGTTCGATCCCCAACATTCCATATGGTCCCCCAAGCACCGCCAGGAGTAATTCCTTAGTGCAGAGCCAGGAGTGACCCCTGAGCATCTCTGGGTGTGACCCAAAAAGGAAAAAAAAAAAATTTTTTTTGTTGATTTCTAGTTGAATATTCCACAAGCTATAGTATATCCCAAATAAATAGAAACATTGCATTTATTGTGACTTTCCTTTGGGGATAGTTTTTTACTGTATATGAAACAGATACCCATTGATCTTAGGGTCTGTACCTGTTCGTGCCAATTTAGAAGTCCCTATTCATTTTTTACAAATTGGCGTTCTTTCGGGGTCCTGAAACACTCCCACCCTTTCATTTCACCATGGGTTTTCTTGGGCCTGCAAGAATTTTCTTCAGGGCCAGAGGAATAGTACAGCAGGTAAGGCATTTGCCTTCTGCACGGCGACCTATATTCAATCCCCAGCATCCCATATGGTCCCCTGAGCACTGCCAGAAATTATTCTTGACTGCAGAGCCAAGAGTAACCCCCGAGCATTACTGGGTGTGACCCAAAAAGCAAAAATAATAATAGTAATAATAATAATTTTCTTTAAAGGGGAGTCTTTGGGGGCCAGAATGATAGTACAGTGGGGAGGGTGTTTGCCTTGCATGCAGCCAGCCCATATTCGATCCCTGCCATCCCACATGGTCCCCTCGAGCATCGCTGGAAATGACCCAAAAAAGCCAAAAAAAAATAAAGGGGAGACTTTTCAAGGCACTTGGCTTTTTAGACAGCTAAGATCTTTGACACCATAGCCGATCCCTCAAACACCACCCAGAGTAAGTTCTGAGCACTGCAGGGTGTGGTCCCAAAAACCAGAAAATAAAAATAATCTATTCAGAGCTGATCAACTTTTTTTTTTTCTTTTTGGTGTTTTGGGCCACTCTTGGCAGGCTCAGGGGATGATACTGTGAATAGAACCTAGGTCAGCCACATGCAAGCTAAGCACACTATCTGCTGTACTATCACTCCAGTCCCTGATTAACTTCTTGATGCATTCGTGATTTGCCTTTTGGTAAGCATACAGATTCCAAAGCCCTCAGTCAGTACTGGTTCCTGAGAAATTAGGGAATCCGTGATGTATAGAGAAAGAGTGTCTTAGTAAAATGAGTAAAATCTTCCACTAACCTTGTGGGACCAGAGATAACAATACAGTGGTCTTGTTTGCTTAGAGCCCCTGTATCCCACAGTCCACTACAGAGAGTTGTCACAGCCCCTTTCTCCTCCCCCTGCCCCAAATCCTTCTAATCTTTTCAACCCTTTTGAGTCCTAAAGCAGGAAAAGACACATTTCCTCCAGCTTTTTTTTTTTTTTTTTTTTTTTTGCTTTTTGGGTCACACCTGGCAATGCACAGGGGTTACTCCTGGTTCATGCACTCGGGAATTACCCCTGGCGGTGCTCGGGGGACCATATGGGATGCTGGGAATCAAACCCAGGTCGGCCGCATGCAAGGCAAATGCCCTACCCGCTATGCTATCACTCCAGCCCCTTCCTCCAGCTTTGAGCTGGACTTTTTTTTGTTTCTGGGTCACACCCAGGGTTGCTCAGAGGTTTCTCCCTCCCCGCATGGGGGTGCGGGGTGTGGCAGATCAAACCTGGTTTGCATGTGCTTGGGACCACCCCTGCAACTAACTCCTGGTAGAATTGTTATTATCTTGGGCCGGATTAGCAGTGCAGTCAGTTTGCCTTACGTGCGGCCAACGCAGGTTCCATCCCCAGTACCCTGTATGGTCCCCTAAGCACTGCCAGGAATAACTCCTGAGAGCAGGAGCAAGAGGAAGCTCTGAGCATCGCTGGGTGTGGCCCTCCGGAAAAAGAATTGTTCTCTTCTCTCCACAGCCCCTGCTCTTCATGGACCTTCTGGATGAGCGGACACTGGTGGCGGTCGAGCGGCCCCTGGATGACATCATCGCCCAGCTCCCACCACCCATTAAAAAGAAGAAATTTGGAACTTAAAACCGGGCACTGGCTGTGTCCTTCCTTGAACTGTCTACCCTGTTTGTTTTCACAAATCATGATAATAAAACAAAGTTATTCTTTACGATTGGTTATTATAAATGTTCTCTTCCAAAATAATGGACAGTAATTTCCCTACATTGAAAGTGAACAGCAACTCCCATGTATTTGTACTTGGGATCATGTTCAGAGACATGTTTGTTCTTTAGATCACAGTCCCAGGAAAAGGATAATGACTGCCCTTCCTCCCAACACAGGCCGGAGGCATCAGAGGGCTGGTGACCTTTGCACCAGCTGGCAGCCCGTGGGGTGGCATGGGACCTGCCCCAGCATTGCCCTAAAATGCTGGCTTCTTGGGGGTTGCCCGGTCAGTACAGAGTGATTCTGAGCGTTCTTTGTCGGCTAGCCCCTCCCTGCGCTTGACCACTGAGCTTGTGATGACCGGTCTTACACACTTGATCACACAGTTGCATGGTGACTCCTGGAGGGCAGGTCTGCATTGAGCTTTCCTTGTGATCACCACCCCCTCCCATTTGTGTTTCAAGAAAGGACACTGGAAAAATGGGTGTCTTGGACTTAGTGATGGACTACTGATGATATTGCAAAGGAAAACAGACTTTGGGATGTCAGGCTCATTGATCGTCTTTTCTCCTGTTACACATCCCATTTTGAATTGTTTTTCTTGGGGGAGGGGGCTTTGGGTTTGGAGCTAAATCTTGCAGTGCTCAGGCTACTCCTGTGTTTGAGGGTTTCTAGTAACAGTGCTCCGGGCGCCATGTGGTGCCAGGGATTGAGCCTGGCCCCTTGCATGCGAAGTATGCTTTCAGCCCATTGAACTATCTTTCCAGCCCCCCAGTTTCAGTGTTTGAGGAGACAATGATAGGGATTGTGTTAAATGTGGTGAATAGCAACAACAAAAAGGACATTCATGGGTTGGAGAGATAGAGCAAAGGTTGAAGTGCTTCCTTTGCATGTGACAGCTCTGCTTCAATCCTGAGGCTGGACAGGAGTGATCCCTGAGCACAAGCCAGGAGTAAGGCCTGAGCACAGCCAGATGTGACCTCAAAGCCCCTCTCCCAGAACTTTTCTGTTGCTGTGGAGGAGGAACCCAAAAAGCCCTCCAATATTTTTAAATTTTTATGTCCTATTTGCTTTGCCATCACTGTTCCTATGGGTGTTAGCCATTGCCCACTTTGGTAGGGGTGTTTTTTCAGTGGGGGCAACAGGGGAGAGTGCCCCGTCTCTGTGCTTAGAGGTCACTGCTGGCAGTACTTGTAGGCTAGGCTAGGCATAGTACTTCCATGCCAGGTATTGAACTCTGGTCTCCTGTGTGTGAAGCATGAATCCGGCCTCTTGAGCTATCTCTATGACCCCAACTGCCTAGTTCTTGGTTTTGGGGATTTTAGAGATTTTGGTTTGGGCCAGGAGGGACCAAAAAAAAAAAAACAACCAGACCGTGCCAGGAATCAAGCCCAGGCATGCAGCATGCAAGGCAAGTGCCTTCCCCGGTATTATTTCTGTCGCCTGCCCAGTTTTAATTAGAAAGAGAAGAACTCTCTAAGTTAACCTGAACTGAGCAGATAGGTTTCTTTCCTATCTCACCGGTGTTGTGTTGCCTCTCTGTGGAAACCGGCTCTGTATGGTTTAGTTGGGGCCTCAAGGCCTGCATACTGGCAGAGGAATGAGTTTTTTTTTTTAATTGAATGACAATGACATATAGTTACAAGCTTTCATGTTTGAGTTACAATCATACAATGATCAAATATCCATCCTTACACCAGTGCACATTCCCACACCAATCTCCCCAGTATTCCCCCTTCCCCACCCTCCCCTGCCTCCACAGCAGACAGTTTCCCCCATAGTCTACTTTTGTGCATTATGGTTTGCAATACAGACACTAAGAGGTCATCATGTTTGGTCCTTTATCTACTTTCAGTGGCATGACAGTTCTGATGACATGGCATGTAAAGTGCTGACGAGGACATTTTGGCTATTACTCCCACCTCCACCCAGTCTAGAAAGGGAAAATCAATGTGAGAGTTTAAAGTGGATTTGGGGGAGGAGCGTCAGCACAGACACAATGAGAAAACCCAATACTTGGAAAGTGAAAGGGCTATTTCAAGTTTGCAAAGGGAACAGATGTAAGAGTGATAAAGGGGACATCTTTGCCCTACCTGTATAGGTTTTGTTCAATGGTGGGAGTAATTTATAAAATAACATTTACTCCTGCATAAATAAATTTCCTGAGTGGGGCACAGTCTCCCGAACTGCATTTGGCTTGACCTTTACAACCTTTCAGTAGTTTGGAAGATCCTGCCTTTCTAAGAACTGTTTTAGACTCCCTTCTGAATGCTTGAAACCAAAGTTCAGGGGGCCAGAGAACTAGTACAGAGGGCCGTGAGCTTGCCTTGTTATGTGGCTAACCTACGTTCTCAGTCCCAGCAGGGAATCAGGAGTAAGCCCTGCATGCCACCCCGTGTGGCCTAAATGATAAAAATAAAAAAGTTCAAGTCCCTTTTTGACAGGAAGAGGCTAGGATGCCTTAAATATTAACTCACCGGGCTGGAGTGATAGTACAGCAAGTAGGGCATTTGCCTTGCATACAGCTGACCTAAATTCAATCCCCTGGCATCCCATATGGTCCCCAAGCACCACCAGGAGTGATCCTGAGTGCAGAGCCAGGAGTAACCCGAGCATCACTGGATGTAGCCAAAAAAGAAAGAAAAAATATTAACTCACCTGCTTTTCACTGAACATAGAGCTATATATTATATTTAAGGAAAGGTAACTGGAGTCTACTAGAAGACTTGACATTCTGAACTCTTCGAGATTTTCAGGGTGAAGTTACGACTGTGGGCTCAGCAGCTCATTTGAGTGAAGGAGTGAAACATCTGAAAGGCGAAAGCATTCCTTTGCAACTTTTCCAGCCAGTGATTTGCACTGCCATAAATGGCAGGGGAACTTACAGCTCCAGGCCTTGAAATTCTTCCTCAGTAGAGAACTTTGAATATAAATGAAGCAGAAACTGATTGGGACAAGTTAGAGGAATTGGGGGAAGGGAAGGCAAAACTGTCAAGTCAGAAGAGCATTTTATGTGCTTGTTTCCTGATCCTCTTACTCAGGGGATTTGAGTAATCTAGATTGTTTATGTTCTTGTTTAACTGTCGTAGGCAACTCACATTTGAGCTCTTGGAAGATATTTACCTGAGACCCACCTGGGAATGTGGGTGGGTTTTTTTTTTTCTGTTACTCAGATGCAAATGCTTTAAAAATTCACTTCTCAGGCCAGAGTACGGGGATGAAGGCACTGACCTTGCACGGGGCTCACTCTGGTTCAATTCCCAGACACTGCCAGGAGTGACCTTTGAGATATAGTAGATGGTAAGACACTTCCTTTGCATTCAGTAGACCCTCAGTTCAATCCCTGAGAGTGTCCTCTGAGCATGGAGCTGGGACTGACCCCCAGGCCCCCCAAATAAATGTTTTTATTTTTACTTTTTTTTTCATATCCTGGTTTGTAATCTCATGAATTAATGTTCCCATACCTTAGTACAGCACAAAATAAGAAAAAAAGCTTGGAATATTGAAAGAGAATATCCTGTTTGGGGGTTTATTTTTATTTATTTATTTAATTGCTTTTTGGGTCACACCCGGTGATTCACAGGGGTTACTCTGGCTCTGCACTCAGGAATTACTCCTGACGATGCTCAGGGGACCATATGGGATGCTGGGAATCAAAACCTGGTTGGCTGCATGCAAGGCAAACGCCCTACCCGCTGTGCTATCGCTCCTGCCCCTGGGGGTTTATTTTTAGAGGGTTTTTTGTTTTTTTGGGGTTTTTTTGGTGGTTTGTTAGTTTTTATTTGTTTTGGTTAGGAGACCATTCCTTGTGCTCAGGAGATTGTCCTGGGTCTGCTACATGCAAGGCAAACACTTAAATCCCTGCAATATCCCTCTTTTCACCTACTTTTTTTGGTTTTGGGGCCACATCCAACAGTGTTTGAAGCTTATTGCTGGCTCTAGTTCAGGGATCACTCTCGATCAGGGAGAACCATATGCAGTTCAACCACACAGAGGTAAGCACCCTACCTGCTTCCAACTCTGACCACTGACACCTTGTGACACTGTGTTTTCAAAGTGAAGTCTTCTATACTGAGAACCACAATATATGATACAGACTATCACAGTGGTTCTGGTTGTTGGAGTATGGACAAAGTAACAGTTTCTGAAAGGTGTCTCTTAGATTCATGACTCTGCGCTCAAGGAATTACTCCTGGCCGTTGGATCTGGGGGGACCATGGAATGCTTGGGATTGAACCTGGGTCAGCCGAGTGCAAGGCAAATGCCCTACCCACTGGACTATCACTCCGGCCCCAGCTTCATTATTTAAGATTAGGAATGGAGACTGTGAGAAGCAAAGGGGCTTTGTCCAGAGTCACGGCAGTGGTTTCTCAGAAGCCAAGAGGGCGTTGTCGTTTCGTTTGTCTTTGGTGCAGGGCTTCACATGTAGAAGCCAGTGCGGCCCCTCCAGTCCCTTCCCCAGGTCTGTCTTGGTTACCAAGTTCCAACTGTAAACACGGTGCTTAGCAGGCATGGTCTACAAAGGACTTTCCCTTTCGGAGACTGCAGGGAAAGGGTCGGCATCCCTTGCTCAGTGTGGCACCTGATTTAGCTCCTAACACCAAGTCCTGTGGTCAGCCTCGTGTGTGAACCATGTGCTTGGGCTCTGCCGGAGCTCACACAGGCACTTTCTAGGCTTTCCTCCTTGATAGTGCACTTGCTCGCTCACATTGCATCTATTTCCCACTCACCGTTAGCTGCCCATTGGAATGACTGTGTTTCCATGAGCACTGATTTAACTTGGTTCTGTTTGGGAGGGGGCCATTTGTGTCAAGGGTTTTCTCCTGGCTCTGTGCTCAGGGGCCATTCAGGGTGGCGCTTGAGAGACTGTATTCAGTGCCCGGGGCCACTCCCAGTGGTACTTGGTTCTTCTGTGCAGGCCTGATGCTCACAGATTGAACCAGGGTTGGCTGTATGCAAGACAAGTATCTGAAGCCCTCCATTACCAGTATTTAAAAATACTCT